TTGCTGCTGTAGACATGGAAGTTTGGACGACTTTTTTTTACTAAAAAATTTCAGTGAAAAATAAGTATTTTTAGGCTAATTTTTTGTAGAACCATAGTACCTATGCACTATTAACTTAAATATATTTTTTTTTAAGCAGAGTATTTATCTGGGAATAGAAAATTATAATATACATTATCATTTAAAGATAAAATTAATATGAAAAAAAAATAAAAAATATGAAAAGTGGAAAGTTTGTTCAAAGTAGCCCCCATGTTCAAAGGTTGACGGAAACTCTGTTAACTTGAATAATGTTGTTTATTTGCTAGATTAAGTTTATATTATAGCAAAATATGACATACATAGTTCAAATATAGGCAGATATTTTTAATTTTAATCATATAATTAATAGACTCTTATTAAATTATACATTTAGGTTAGTACGTACACGCTGTATGCGCCAAACGCTTGGAAACAGTGAACCATAGTCAAGTATTTTTATCATAACTGCTGATCCCATCATCATCCCATTTTGAAATTTTTATAATGTAGGTACTTACTAGATTACATTCTTTAACATATCTAATTTTCAAATTTTTCAAAAAACACTAGGCCTATCTTAAATTTTTTTTCAAAAACATATTTTGAAATTTTCAAAAAAATTAATTTTTACTTAGGCCTAAGTAGGTTGAGTTTGGTAGCAGATTAAAGGCATTTGAATCCTCTTTAAAATGAGCCATTGTACAACTTGATAGGACCAATAGAACTCATCCTAGACAACATTTTAGATTTGCGCGCACGGTAAAAAACGCCAATTTTTACCATTTTCAAATATTTATATCATAAAAACTATAAAAGATAGATTTTTTTTTAAAGCATATTTGGATTCAGGACTCAAAAAACTACAAGTATGCAAAATTTCATCAAAATCCAAGATGGTCAGGTTGAGAGCCTTGTTGATTTGATATGGAATGACCCTAAAAAAATTTTTTGAAACAAAAATTCCTTATGTTTTATGTATGATATTAAAGCCCATGATTTTCCAAACAAAATGGTATATAGAACATTAGAATTAACAAGCTTCTCAAATCCGTTTTAATAAAACCTTGCAAATGCGCCAAAAACAGGTGGACATTAAGGCCTAATCTATGGACACTTGGAGGGTTAATCTGTGACGTTAGGTACAGACTTTGAAAAATTGTTGAATGTTCAATTAAAGAAATCGTAATCTAGTCACTGCCTTGTTCATAAGTATTTCTTTAGATAAACTTAGGTAATAATGTTTCTACTGAATTATATCTTGTATCTATTTTTCTGTAAGTGCCGTAACTTAGTGCTCACTGTGCCATCTAAATGACCTTTGTATCTTATTTGATGTTTTGTTAATGCCTGATTTGTTTATGTACAGTACTGTAATTTATCTTTGACTTGTGTTTTTGCAGCATGTAGGCCTAACTTAATAGACTTCATTGATGTAAGTTATCCAAATGCATGTAGGCCTAGGCCTAAGTACATGTCTACTGGAATAAAATAAGTTATTGATTCTTGAATTTAAAAAGTTATAACTTAGTTAGGGTCTAAACTTAGGCTAAGTTTAAAAGGACATCAGGCCTATTTTTGCTGCATTACATCTAGGCCTAAGTTTACCTAGGGCCTACTTGGCTTAACTGGCAGCTAGGCCTAGGCCTAAATTATCCACCTTACCCCAAGTTACAACTTCATAATACCCTAACTTGGTAACTTAGGTAGCCTACTAGCCTAAGTTATAAAAGCCCAAACATAATCTGTGCTAAGCCTAAACTTAGGCCCAAAAACTTGTACTATGGTATCCTTATTAGGCCCTACTTATTTATTGTGTTTCTGCATCTTTAGTTAGGCTAAGATGGCTAGCCAGGACAATAAAATAAATTAGTTAGCCTAGGCCTACTAAATGTGTTATCCCTAGCCTGATACAATTTTAAAAATATATATATATATTTAGTTAAATCATCACAGCAATCTGAAACGGATATTAAAAGATTGCCAACCACAGAAAAGGTTTGACCATTCCTGCAAGTAGCCATTGAAAGCCCTACCCTTCTCGCATTCTAGGGTTGTTAAGGTAAATTTTCGTAAAAAGTAACTATATTAAGTGATTTCACAATAAAATAAGGTCGTAAAAGGCATTCTACGATGAACAGAATAACTGTGAGTACATCCCTTCGTTAAAGGAGCAAATATAAGATTTTGCGTTTTGGGGTGGAAAAGCGCATTGCCGTTCCAGATAAGACTACGCTGTAGGTGTAAGGGATCTCTGAAGAAATTAAGTACTTACCACGACGTACAGGATCTTAAGTTGTCTTGAACAGTACAAAATATTCGTAAGTTCCGTTAGTAATAGTGGTAGTAAAGTAAAATTTAGTACCTTAAAGACTCTCTTACACTCATGGCGGAAATTGTTGAGACCGAACAGACCTAGCACAATCATTTTCGCGCCGAGCTCAAGAAATGGCGACTTCTTGTTCAGCCAGCGGTTAATATTTCAAATCAGTAGCAATTACCTCACGCCAAAATATTTTAAAACTGACCAGTGAGCTCACTTTAGCGAATTGTAAACTAAAAATATATTTAGAAATATATTTTACAACAAATATTAGCAAAACTAGATAATTTCTAAACACGTTGATAATTACTCAGCAGAAAATCGAACGATTAAGACGCAGCTTGACTACCGCAGTAAATACTAAAATGAAATAGTTAATAGACTGATCCAGTAGGGGTGGATGTAGCACGGACAACTGGAAAGTAGTGATAATCTGAATAGCCCATTACTATAAGAAATGTATCTTACTTTAACAGGGTGTTGTGTATTGTCAAAGGTTTTATCTATAAATAGTACTGTACACATTAGAGCACAATTATTGAAATAGGCACTACGAGACATATATTGAGGTCAACGATTTTACTCATTATGCACCGTGGCATCATGTTTATCCACATGAAAGGCCCTCCACCACCACCCCCACCGTTATGTTCTTCAATATTAGCTCGAGTGCTGACCATTGCGAGCGCAGAGTTGTACGATCTGATGTTCTCTTTCTAGTTTCTGCTCAAATGATTTGCTCCATTATAAGTAGGCTCTGGATATAATAGATTTCTCGGTATGGTGGTAGATTCATTTTAGCGAATTTCCCATTTAGGGAATAAGCTATTACCGTAGGTCTCATGGTAAGGCCTAGACCCGGGACCGATTTACTTTTTCATTTTGATGTCCCTAGAGGCCAAAAACACCAATCGTTCAAATTTGTATAAATGTATATATATATATATATAGAGAGAGAGAGAGAGAGCGATTTATATATATATATACGTCCGTGAACGCGATAACTTGAGTAATTTTTGTCCGATTTTGATTAAATTTGATTTAAAGGTATAAAGCGGGATAAACTTGAATGAGTTCGCGAACCAGCATGATCGGACCATGGGAACGGGGGGTTTTATGGGGTAAAAATTGGGGTTTCTCACTTTTGACCCTCAAAACACAAAATTTCCCAATTTCTCTTTAGACCTTTTTAAAGAGCTTAAAAAAACAAATAATTTAGTATATAAAAGTATTTTTTGTTCGGTATTAATAACGGAGAAAATTAAAAAAATTGTAAATTTAAAATTCCCATGTTAGGCCTATTCTTATGGAGAGTATTGTCAAATAAATGTTGTAGTTTGCTTGTTTATGGATATATTTTGATCAAACTTGGCAAATTTAATTATTTTGTACTAAGCTATCAATATTTTACTAAAAAAACACACTTAATTAGTTTCCTTGTAGCAGCGAACCTAGGTAATCGTTAAACCTAATGTTATTAAAATATATTTAATTGAAAATCAATTCAGACAAATGGAAATTCGCTTAGTCGGCAGGTTTGCTGCGGCAGGGGTATTCTCCTTCTCAAAATGCCTCGCTGTAAACACAGGTCATTGAGAGGGCCAATTGAGAACGAAAAGTCGTTTTGGGGTAGTGTTAAGGCGCATTTGTAACCTAATAGTTGAGATTGTCCTGGGTCAGGTGCTGACTGTGATGAGTTTAGCGGGAGTATGTTTTATCTATGGTTAAGCCTATTACGCGCCACTGTTCTGTACCTGCGGTAGTTATCACGATTACGCCTCCTGTCTATGTTTCGTTGTCGTTATTATTGTAATTCATCTAATTATAACATACTTACATTACTTTAGTTAAGTGCAATTTTGTGTTAACTTATCATTGCATATCAGAGTGTTAAGTATATAATTATCATCCTTATAGATCAGCTGAAGACAATGTTGATGTTATTTTTGTCCGGTCCCACTGGTGTCGTGATGTTGTTAGCAATTTGTTCATTATTATATTAATACTAGTTCAACCAAATTAACTGATTTAATTATAAACAATAGATTGTCGTCTTATTTATTTATTAACGCGAAGTACACATTATAAAATTAACCCTATAATAAACAAAATGTCATCGTCACTAGTACTTAGGGTCACTAAAATATGAAGTCCCCATAAACAAATAAGTTTCAGATTTTACAATGGAATGAGAAGTACACTTGTGTTAGTTATTCTATGATTCTTTGCAATATGGTAATATCCATAAACGTTTCCATAGTATTACATAATCAATGATCATAGAAACCTGAGCTGACCACACGGTGATATGTAGCAGCCATCGATGGTAGCAGCATGGTAACGGCCAGCCTGGAGACTTTATAAATTAAAGGACTTCTTCTTCTTTCCAAGGCCGCTCGTTTCCTGTTTAAATAAACAAATAAATAACATCAAACGGAATTTAACAACTTTCTTTTGTTATTGTTTCTGTTTTAGAGCAATCTCAAACATCAAGAGAAATCATAGATTGAAGCTGAAATCAATTACAATGAATGCAATCAAATGAATTTATTATGTTAATGCAAATGTGGAATGAATATAACTTTATTTACAAAAGTAACTTGCATAAATGAATGGTTTCAAATAAGAGCTGTTTGGAAACACCAAAGAAACAAAACATGGATTATAATTTATCTTTACACCCAGATCTTATTGATGACATGATTGAAGAATTGTTTGAGATTGACATCATTAGTCAAGATCAAATTAAAAAGTTAAAATGTTATGATAAACCCACTCATGTTGATCCAAACATTTTAATGGAAGTAAGACATAAAGAGGTACGTTTAGAGTTAAGTTTACAATAATATTGGTAGGTTGAGTTGGAAATGATTATTTTAACTTTGTGATTGGTAAAGTGATGCCTATTAAGTTATGTAACGTTCTGTTATTTATAATGGCAAATAAATATTTTTAACATTTCTTTTATACTTAGTGATCTTGAAAGAAATGCTAGAGAATAAGTATAAGTTAACTTATTCTTGGGGTGTGTGAAGCAACTTTTTTAAAAAACAAATGAAAGCAAAGTGGTCTCGAACTTATATAGCCTAGGCCTAAGTTATAAGCTAACTTAAAATTAATTAAAATTGAGTTAGGCCTAGGCTACCTAACTCAAGTAAAAATAACTTACTTAACTGTATACTGAAGCATTGTTATAAGTTACAATAAATTAAAGGATACAGAGAAAATTCCACAAAAACTGTCGGCCTAAATTTAAAATTCCCATGTTTATTTTATTTATTTATTGCAAACGGATTTCACCAATTTACAATATATATTGAATTACAAAATGTTACGGTACTCATAGTGAATGAATATACTTAGTAACAAGCAATATTGAGGATACATGCAAAAACTAGGACAGTAAAAAAACTAGGAGTACCAAATTATGTTGTTTATTCAGATTTTATGTAGGTAATATAAATAAAAGGATTCGACAAAAAATCTGTAGCATGAAACAGGTTAAATTAAAGTCTAACAATAGGCTAGCAAGAAAAACATTTGTTAATACAGTACCACAAAAATACACATATTTTATATTTATAAGTTAAGTTAACTATAGCTGTTACCCACGGGCTTTACCCCTTTGACTTCATAAGTATTAACAAAACTATTGATTGGTTAAGTTAAGCTGAAATAAACAAAACAGAATACAGTAATACAAACAAAATAAATAATCACACCTGATTTTAATAAGGTAGCCTAATAAATTTTAAGAATAATAAACAAATAAGTACATCAGCTGAGGTATTTTTAACATTACCCTAGGTATTTTAAAGTTAGGTTTCCCTTTGGAAAGGAATTACGACCTTAAAGGGCAATTTATGAAATAATCGTTTGGAGTTTGGATAGATTTGCGCAAGGTTTCTCGTCATGACGAACACTTGTAAGTATATGTTTAATGGGAGTGTGACTTTTAGTTTTCTCAATAGTTAATGGGTACTTTGGGATTTATATATATGGATTGGACTCCTGGCTTCTTAATTACCTCAACATTGACAGCCTATGATAAGAGGCTAACTTATCATGTTTAAAAAGTCCATGAATTTTATGTCAATTATAAAAAAGAAAATGGGGGACCATGTTTTACCTTTTTTACCTTTTATCTTTGATGTCTTCACCACAGTCCGTAGATCGGGGAATCGTCATGGTTCTTTCTGTCTGGACACTGGACGGGTTTTCACGAAGTGAGCTGACGTGTGAGTGTAAGAATTTTCTTCTATGTAGCCTACTCATTGATATTGTATGGTCTATTGGTGAGGTATTTTTTCAGTTGTCGGACAAATGTTTTGTTGTTGTGTAGAATTCGTTGTGGTGGAAAATTGTAAAATTTTGATCCAGTATATTGTGGTGTAGGCCTATTGCTGAATTTAGAGAGTCTGTGTTGGGGTAGATCTAAGTTTGCTTTGTGTCTTATTGTGTGTAAATAGTTTTTGTCTGCGGACTGCTGTTAAGTTTATGGAGTAGGCCTAAATGATGGGGTCGGTTTCTAGGATTTAAAGTGATGTGATGTTAAGGCAGATGAAGTGTGTGGTTTGCAATGTTCATACGGGTCCAACCTCAGGATTTTTCTTACGGTCTTTTTCTGTAGAATTAGTAAATATTCTTTTGAGATTTTATACTTTTTTGATAGTTATGGCCCCTCTCTGAACTTTGCACTTGGCCCTGCACCACCCAGGCCAGCTTGACATGAACATTTTATAACTGTTGATCAAATTACAAACTTGTTCATTTTCTATGAACTTAAGAAAAATTGTGTTTCAGGTGAAGAAAGAATCTCTGGTTGATATTAGTAACGAGAAGAGTATTCAAGATGAAACTAAAGTGTGAGTAAGCATCCTACTGTTTCTTATAGTTATACATTTTTAGTATTATAAAAACTGCTGTTGGACATTTTCTTTTGGTGTCATTTTAGCATCTAGGCCTAAGTTACAGTTGTAGACTTGTGCTGGTCAAGACAGGGCCCTTGACAAGACGATATTCGGCAGTATTCTTTATAAATTACACTGGTCTCTCTCTTTAAAAAGGTCTAGGGAGAAATTGGGAAATTTCGTGTTTTGAGGGTCGAAAATGAGAAAAACCATTTTTTACCCCATAAAATTCCCCGTAAAACCCGGTTCCCATGGTCCGATCATGCTCCAATTACGCATTCAAGTTTATCCCGCCTTAGAGGCCTACCTTTAAACCAAATTTCATCAAAATCGGACAAAAATTACCCAAGTTATCGCGTTTACGGACGTATATATATATATATAGGCCTATATATAAATTTGAACGAATGGTGTTTTTGGCCTCTAGACACATCAAAACGAAGAAGTAAATCGGTCCCGGGCCTAGGTCTTACCGTGCCACCTACGGTAATAGGTACTTCATCCCTATAAGGAAATTCGCTAAAAGTATTTTTTGGATCCAATTTGATTATACAACAGTTTCAATGGATTCTCAATTTATAAACATTTTACTTCCGACCCTGATATCTTAGCCTGCAAAAAAAGGTAGGCCTAGATATTTTGTATTTGTTTTCATTATGGATGCAAACTTAAAAAGATAAGTTGATTTTGGAATTTCTAAATTTGTAAATTTAGAGATTAGGCCCTACAAAACCACCTAGACCTTTTCTTAGATAGCTCATACCGTCTTACTGTACTAAACATTTTCTTTTTAAAAATAAATGCCATAACAAGGTCTTAAGTAGTAAGAACAAGATTAATAGGACTTTTTGATGTAAATATCCAAGACTGTTACCTGTATCCCAATTGATAATTTAGGTTTTAATTTAATTTGTAACAAATTAAATTTCTATATTACTCAAACTATCTCCTAGCCACTATAAGTAAATTAAATAGTTTATACTTAAATTAATCAGAATACATTTAAATTTATCAGACTAGCATTTTAATCAATAAATTAAAGTCTTAAAATAAGTGTTATTTGGTTATATTACTTAATTCTAAACTTTATTATCTTTTAGGGGATGTGGAGTTTTACCCTGGAGTATTAAGAACTTAAATTTGTTTGTAAAGACAATTGTTTTAAATTTTCAGGAAGAAAGTGAACATTCATCAAGATCCTAGTATAAAAGTGAAAGATTTAAAGACTATCGACAAGGAAATTTCTAATACCAGAAAGTGCTTAGAAGATTTCAAAAAGAAACTTGAACAGAAAAATGAAGATTTACAACATTCAATTCTAGACTTAGAAAAGGAAGAAAAAAATAATGGTTTTGATGAATGTTCAGACAAAAAAGAACACTATTATTCTTCTGTCGTAGAAAAACTGAATAGAGAGGAAAATGTGAAATTTTTCAATTTACATCTTGATTGCCTTGAAGATGCCATTCAGAAGAGCCATCCAGTAGATAGTGTGGAAGCCTGGATACCTGTTGAAGTGAAATCGCCAGTGGTAAATGTCACAACATTCAGCGAATATGATGTCATTCAAGGTTTACTTGATGATACAGAGGAAGTACAAAAGGATTTACAAATGTATGAGTTACAAACAGATTATTCATCAGAAAAACTAACTATAGGCCCACACAGCAATTATATACTAAACAGTTCCCCAACTTTTAATGTCAGTATTACTCTCGATGATAACAAGCTATCTTCAAAACAAAGAGAAACTATTCAAAAGGCTGTAAGGACATGGAAGTTGTATGTCAAGAAGATCAAAATACAAAAGTGGTATAATTTAAAAGCATCAAAAATAAAAATCAATTTGCTTAAGAAATATGTTTCTCTGTGGATATTTTACACTAAACAATCCAAGCATAGAAAGGAAACATGTTTGACTACAACCTCTGATACCCTAGAGATTGTACCTACTAAATGTTGTTTTAATCAAAAAAGGTTTGGTAATTTGTACAAAACTGAATCTGAGGTGCACCAAGAGCAAATCAAGATCAATGAAGTAAAAACCAAACCTGTTATCAAGGCAAAAAAAAATGAAACTGTTTCCAAAAAAGTGGTTATCTCCTCTAAAGAAAGAAATCAAGCAAGTAAATCAAACCGACTAGAAAATTCATCAGATAAAATCGAGATTCATGTGAAAACCTTTACACCTCAAGATGTTGGATTGGCACAGCAAACTAATAGTGTAAGTCAAGGTTGTAAAAAACCATCAACAAATCGAGACCATGAGACCAAAAATCTTACTTTCAGAAGTATGGGGGAGCCAATAATACACAGGTTTGAGGCTCAAGAAAAAATAATCAAACAACAAAGGGAAGTGATAGAGAAACAGAACCGGATTATTTTTGATTTGCAAGCAAAGTGCTTAGAAATCGAATCCAAACTGAATTGGACCTTAGCAGAGAGACAACTAGCAGAGGCTGAAAATTGCAACAAAATAGTTTCTAAGCATTTGGCTATAACTGACCGAAAACAAGAATGTAACTCTGACAGCAAATATTCAAAATCCAAGGTTGAAGAGATGCTGAACACCAATAGCAAAACACAGAATAAAAGTGATAAAATTGTAAAAAATATGCTAGAAAGACAAGCCTATTGTTCTCAGTTGGCTGAACAAACAAAACAAAGAAAAAAGCGAATAGAAGAAGAAAAGGAGAGATTAAAATTAGAGCTAGAAGAGAAGCAAAACAAAGATAAGGAAGAGGAACGAAAGAATAGAATCATGCAAAAAAAATTGGAACAGGAAATAGCCAGAGAGAAAGAAAGAAATGCTGTTGCTCTTAAGAAAAAGGAAGAGGAACTTTTGGACAAAGCTCTTAATCATTATACCTATAAACTGAAGCACAACACTTTTATCATAATGAAATCAAAACATTTAGAACTTTTGGCAAAATATGAATACAGTGACAGGTTTTATAAACATAAAGTAGTACAGAAAATGTTCCATATTTGGAAAGACAAAACTAAACATAGTATTCAGAGGAAGAATGAGTTTGCAGAGCATTACTACAATGATAAAATACTGAAGTTGGCTTGGAACGTACTTAGAAAGGTAATATAACCTTTTAATTACTACGAATAACACTTGAATGTTTATACACATGCTGTATGTATAAGTGTGGATCTCAAAAATAGGATACTTCTTTTAAAAAAACTAAGATACACTTGGTTGTGTTGTACTTGTAATGCTCGCCTTCAAATCCAAGTTTTCTTTAAGATAAGAAATTGAAGCCGGATTTTCCTAGGCGCGGAAGTGGAGCACGGAACACGTAACGCGGACTCCACTTGTCTTAGGCAATTAAATGTTTCTGTTTTCCTGAAGCGGAGCGCAACACCATGTTAATCTCTTTTCCGCTTTTCGCGCTCCTCTTCCACACCTAGGAAAACCCGGCTTTACTTATAGCTACCATTGGGCTATTAATTAGGGATACTTCCTAACAGTATATTGGTGAATATAGTAACCAGGATTAGGCCATATTTAAAAAATAAAAAAACAAACATATTTCTGGCTAATAAGACACAGTGTTTAGTGATCATATTACGAGAAAATCCCAAGAACAGGTCCGAGATAGTTAGAAATCATTATTATAGATTTTGGTTACAGACAGGATATAATTTTAACACCACTTACCAACAGTGGCGGCGACAGCCGATTTCATGCCGAGCAGAGCCTGGCCTACAAGCTTGTGAGATCAAGCACAAAGTTAGTAAATCAAGCTCGAGTCAATTTTCTTAGTACTCAATACAGTAATGCCCAATTAAAAGTAAAAGCTTTTACGTCCGCAAGGATCATACTCACGAAATTGAAAGATTAGGCCTACGCTTTTTTCCGCAATCGCGGATGTCGACGAGAACATTTCCCTGCGGGTGACATTGGTGACAATGACGATGTCTCCGCGGCCACAGGAGGTGTTCAATATTTGGCCGCAATTGGGGAAGACGATAATGACGTTTCTTTTCCCTTGAGAGATATATCTAGGATTTCACTGCGATTGCGGAAAAATGATTTCCCCATCACCACGGGTCGCGGTAGATATTAAGGATTGGGCCGTAAACGCGGGAGACGATAATCTTGTTATCTGATGATGCCATACGTTTGGTTGCAATCACGGTAGACTATTATAATGTTTCTTCCATGGCTACAAGAAGTATTCACGATTTTTCTGTGATCATGGAAGACGATGATGACGCCTCAGGAGATGCCGTGCCAAGCTAAAGTGTAAGTTTAGGCAGTAATACGTGGGTGTGATAATGTGTTTAACAATTATTGGGAGAGGGGGGCCCGGCAAACAAACTTTGGGGGGGGGGGGCACGGGCTCTTATCGCCGCCACTGTTACCAACAAAATTACTATATCTTACAAATACATTTTTTTCATACAAGTTTTTATACAAACATTTTTCCATTGATCAGATTTAGTTGTTTTAAAACTTCTTTCACTACTTGGCAGTTGAGAAAATCATGTATAGATAATAGCGATAGGTAATCAATTGAGTATGTGATTGTACACTTTATTTGTGTCGATTGAGCTCATCTTCTTATTTATATGTGGAATTACGGATTGATATTATTTAAGCCTAATTTGCACTTTTCAGCTTCATTTGGACTACAAGCGTAGACTACAAGTCAGCGAGGATTTGTATAACTTGAAACTTCAAGAACGAATGTTCCACAGATGGCAAACATTTGCAGCTCAACAATTTTTACAGGCTTGTTGTAAAATTGAACTTGCTGAGCGACTACACCAGCGGTAAGTGTACCTTGGAAACAAAAATAACAGATGAATAATAACGATTCAAGAAATATTGAGTTAAGCATATTTGGTTGTGTGGATTATCAAAGGTAATATATAATATTTTTACTGTAGTCTAAATTAGGGGCTTTGGCCCCTACAGGCCACTAGTTTTACAATAATTGTCGTGAAATGTGAATATGAGATATTCTCTGCAGCGGTGAGTATTACTTATTGGAGTTTTACTGTTATACTAGTATTTCTGATTGATTGATTGATTCACTAAACACTACTAATGAGTTGTTTCAGAAAAGGTGTTCTATAGTTCAGCTAGCTTAATTTGAGAAATCCAGACTCCAAAGGCTCATGTATATAAGCAAAAAGGTTAAATGAAACTGATGTTATGTCTAATTATAGAACTTCTTCAGAGAGTAGCTTGGTATGGTACAAAATGTTTGAAGTGGAAAAAAAGCTGAGAAAAGCAGACATTTCTCATAAATTTACATCTTAAAAATATCCTATAGCCTACTAGGACTCGATATTAATAAAGATAAATAAACCCTTGGAATATTTCTCAGAAGAACTAGGTGACATGGTTTTTGTCTCAATGCAATCATTCTGTTTCTAGACATTTGCTGAGACACTATTTTCGCTACTGGAGAGAACTTCCTAGACTCATGTTCAAAGAGAGAGAGAAAGAACAACGCCGTCGTCGTTGGCGTGAGACTGTTCAACAGCTGATTCCTGACTTTACTCCTGCCTATGTAGATTAAGCTAACAGGTTAAAACCTCAGAACAAACAAGGGGCTAAGGTGGTTATATGAATCGTTGATTTGATTGAATGTAACATGTTTAACAAATTGGAAATACTTTAGGGTTGAAAAAAAACTTACAGTTTTCAACAACAATTTATTAACATCCTAAAACAGCTTATCTCTTCTAAATGCCAACATCAATGAGGAATGTAGAGAACATAAGTAATAAAATAGATTAATTCATTTCAGATATGTAACATGGTATAATTACGAGGATGAGTTCAAAACCGTGAGTCCGATCCAAACTCTACGTTCCTTGTAATGTGCTTGTCTAAAAATTAAACTGCAAATTAAATAATTTTAAATAATTAAATTAATTTTTTAAAATAATTAATCAATCAATTTTGTATGGACTAATGCAAGTATCTGTTCACTTTTAGATACTGTCAAGAGTTCATAGTAGCATTGACTATTGGATACTAGAAAAAGTAAATGTACCTAATAAAGAAAAAAAACTTTGTATTATCGGTACAATTTTAAAGTAATAAATAACTTTTCTAAAAATTTTCTACCACACTGCTATTGTTGTTATTACAATAATGATTTGAAAAAAGCACTCAACAAGTGGTTGCCAGAAATCCTAAGTCTTGTGAATCACTGACTTGCTACTACTATATTTGGATAAAACAATGTAAACTAATAAACTATAGTCCACAAGTTTCAACCAAAGCTCTAGACCTTTTCAGATTGACTAGATGAAGTTAAAAAAACACCGTCTTGAGCCTGCAAAACTTTCCATTAGTCCCTTGGCGCATATTTACTTTAACATGTTATATTTAATCAATAATACGAGTAGTAGGTACCGTAGCCTACCGTGAACAAATTTATTTAAAAAAAAATTTTAAATGATATTAAAAGCACTAATAGCATTTGAACTCAATTATCTTTGCTCATTAATTTTAATACTATTACACAATGGATGACAAATATATATATAAATATAAATAAATACTATACACTATACACATTGACATAATTTATAATAACTATAACAATTATGACAGAATTTAAACAAACACGACAAGCATCATAAATTAAAATAGCATTGTTTTCTAATCCATGAAAATATTATAGTAAAATCAAATAATGGTTAAAAATAATGGTATGAAATTCATTTTAGGCTGCAAAGTTAGTAATTTTGATCCATACACATTATATTATTAAAGTTAAAAACTAAAAACTATAGAAATGAACTCTTCCTTCTGATAAGGGAACAATCCTATCCTTACCCCCCCCCCCCTTTCACAGTCAACAGTATTAATATTAGGTAATGTTTGCACCCCTCACCCATGAGTAGCTTGTATTCCACTAGGGAGGTGAGCCTATCAACCAGAAGTTGTACAAGAGAAATAATATATTTCTAAAGGTTAATAGCATAACATAAAATAAAGTAAAGTCCTTGATAGTAATGCAATAAATGCATTGTACCTAGGGCTTTGTATAAAAATATGATTGTCAATTTATGTTTCATAAAAAGAAAAATCTAATTAGGCTATATAAAAATATGAAGTATAATTAGTTGGGTAGCAGTTAAAATTTGACAGTAACTCAATTTTATAATAAAAAAATAAACTCCAAACAAATAAACTGATAATAAATTTCTACGCAATGTTCTAAACATTACTAGAAAAGCTGCTTGCAACAGTGCAAGTGTTAAACAAATAGTTGGTCTCTATGGTAGCCTCAGGATTCAATTTCAGGGGAGGGATGCCCCTCTTCTACCTGGTAATGTAAAGCCTAAAAACGTTCAGGCCAAAAAAGGGTCCACCCTGACATTTAGTGGGGGGGGGGGGGGGCGAATCACCCAATCCCTACCTGGGACTGCTACTGGAAATAGAAACTACAAAAACTGTGTCTAAAACACAAAAAAAGGTGTAAACTACAGAATTGTGTTTCTAATTATTAATTTTATTGGTTTTGTATTTTTTGTGTAAAGAAAAAAATCAAGTGAAAAATAAACAGTTTCAGAAACTGACCATACTTTCTTCTCCTCAGGCATAAATCTAAAGCTTTTAATTATAGATCATACAATTCTTCTGCAAACGTAAAAGAACAGTTTTTAAACACTCACAAAAAAACTAATGAAAATTTCAATTTGTCAAAATAATGATGTTGATATAATTCTTAGCTATATTAATAACTTATTAATATATTATTAATTGGAAGGAAGCCTGTTTTTCGTTTGAAATTGCAGTCAGTGACTGTTTAATTTGTGTGAGTCTTGAGTGTTTGTGTTTATTATGCAATTAGGAACTCTTTCTCATTCAGCTATGCCTGCTAATAACAAGTATTTTACCATCACAGGTCCTTATGCTCATTTTAAATTATTAACCTCAATTTTTCATTAGGTTGGTTTACTATATTTAAAAAAAGCAATAACTTCTGGACGAACGTTCTTACACAGTTGTGATTAGTTAAGTTCACAGTAAATATTTTGAGTAAAACTAAACCAACAAATTTAATCTGACTTTGTAAGAGGTGTTTTTGAGAAACTTTTTTCTGATGTGTTAAATAGGGTCAATCGCCATTAAAAAAAAAATCCTGAATATACTATGGTTTATATATCAAATTCCAGAACCCGACTGGAAAATACATACATAAATACATAACTCGCGGCATTTGTGTTGAGTTTGGGTACATGCCAAATTCAGCAAAATCTTGGTTATAATACTTAACTGATAGTCTTGTTATTACCTGTTAATTTAAATTCAATGACTGGCGTCTGTGTGGTGTGTCTTGGCATTTGCACAACTTCTTAGAAATGAATTATATGCACCTAGACCAACATAGTGAGCAAATATAAACATAGATATGTTTAAATAGTGAAATGGCTAATGGAGTATCACCTGAAAAGGCAACTTTATTGTCAGGTAAATTTGTTTTGTGATGAAAGCTAAATGTTAGAATTCAAATTAATAGTTTGTCAGAACGTAGCTATTCACTTATCCTGATGAGCAACAACAATAAAATAGAAAAGTATAAGGTAATACTTTTGCAGTTAACACAAAGACAAATTTAAAACAAAAAGGAACACATTTTTTTAAGGGTCCCCACATAATTAAGTTTTATGAATGGGGTTAAATATCTTAAAAATGTTTTATTTACTTTTCTTGTCCAATCTTTAAAACTGCTAACTCTTAAAATCAGTTATAAGTTAGGAGTTTTCAAGATATGCCAGATGGGTGCAGACACTCAACTTTCTGACCCAAAAAAAACAATGAGAGGAGGAAAAATTAAATTTAGAAAAACCAAAATTTTACCCCTCAAAGATAAATTAATCCAACAAACACTAAATTTAAAATATGGAAACACTAGTGACTAATATAAAGTCTTTTTCAACCTAAGGCAAGAAGGTTCTTCTGTATGCATATTGTCAAATAAATATTCCCTAAAACTTGTTGTAGTATGTTAAAAAATGTAGTAAACTATTTCAAAGGTCCTGTCAAAAAGCAGTCAGAGTATTTAAACCTTTCTTTGCAGGTTAAAATAAATTTAAGTTAAGCTCTCCTAAACTGTAATTTTACTTTCTAGTTATTTAAAGTGGGTCAATCCAGCAGACTTCTTATGGGTGTGGGAACCCTTAAATGTACAAAGTACAGTTAGTACAGCTTAGGAGCTACATCAACAAATAACTTAGGACAGGGTAAGCGTCGCTATGGCAATTTTGTTCAGCCAGACTTAGCAATCAGGTTGTTTAGTTTTGGCTGGAACCACTCTTCAATGATGGCATTTACCATCTCCTTCAGAACTGCCTTTACTTCATCTATATCTCTGAAAAACACAGAATAGTTGTACAAAATTACTAACCCTTAGAAAGGGATTTTAAATTTAACCATGCCTATTTTTACAGTTCACACTCAATAGCCGAACGGACTCAGGTGGTCGGACACTGCTCTAAATGAGTCATTTTACACTATCAATATCACTACAAGTAATGGCATTTTAGACTCGTCGGAAGGTGACCTAGAAGAGTACAAGTTATTCAACCAAGTACAAGTACCAATCATTCCTCAATAATATTTTTCCTGAACACTTAAAATATGCTGAACTAAAACTTCTTTTCAAAAATGGACATAGACAAAATCCAGACAATTATCGTCCAGTTTTCTTTTACCATTGTTCTCAAAAGTTTTTGAAAAATGTGCTTCTTATCAAATATTTTCATTTCTGGAAACCCACAATATTTTTTCTAACAAGCAGTTTGGGTTTAGAAAGGGTCTCGGCACCATGAGAACACTCTCAGACTTGGTTGAGGAGGTGTCACGGGCCTTGGATGGGTCACATAGCACAATGGGTGTGTTTTGTGACTTATCCAAGGCGTTTGACTGTGTCAATCATGATATACTCATTTAAAAAACTAGAATTATATCCCTTTTCTGTAAATTTAGTATCATAGTTAAAATCTTACATAATAATCGCCATCAGAGAACAGTCATTTGTAAGAATAATTTAAAATCAAAATGGCAAAAAATTAAAAAGGGTGTGCCTCAAGGTTTGATTTTGAGGCCACTTCTATTTCTTATATGTATTAATGATCTTCCAAACAATGTTTCAAATAATCTAATTCTCTATGCAGATGATACTACTACAGTAGTTGAAACAAAAAACAATGATGAATTAAAACATAAAATTGAAGAAAGCCTAACCGAATTGGGGAAGTGGTTTGAGATCAATGGTTTGAAAATGAATGAAGAGAAAACCAAATTTGTAAGATTTTGTACAACTCAATCAGTTGCAATCATTGATCAATTCCAACCAACTCATGATAATGTAAAAGTTTTAGGGCTGTATATTGATAAACATTTGACCTGGAGTAAGTGCATTCAGTCAGTAATTGGAAAATTAAATCCAGCTTGTTTTCAAATATTGTGCTTAAGAAATTCCATAGATTTAAAAACTTCTATCATGCTATATTATGCATACTTTTATTCAATAGCAAAAAATGGAATTGAATTTTGGGGATTTTCCTCTGAAATTGAAAGAACTTTTAAAATTCAAAAGAAAATTATAACAATTTTTTACCATGGAAATCTTCATGCAAACTGTTTTTAGAAAATTTAATATCATGACTATTCCAAATTTAATAATTTTACAAAAGATTGTTAGCAGTGCAGTCAAATTTTGATGACTATACTAGTGAAATCTTTGACCACATTTATAACACCAGATTTAAGAATAATTTTCAATACCCCAAACACCGTTTGAAGCTTGTAGAAAAAACTTCTAAATATATGCGGAAAAAGCTTTTTAATAAATTACCCACAACTCTAAAAACTTTAATACCTAATTCATAATAAATCTTTCAGGGCCAGCCCATGGGGTGGGCGGACCGGGCGGTCGCCCAGGGCGGCGGGGCCGGGGCGGTGCCGTGGCGGGGAAGCCGGGGGCGGTGGTACTGAGGCGGCAGAGCCAGGGCAACAAAAAAATTTTAGGGAACAGTAAATTTTTAATACGAATAAAATAATAAATTCATTAAGTGAATGTGAAGAGTACAATTATCTATATTACATTTTACGCAAAGAACAAGCTTGAGAAGATAAACGGCAATTCAAACATCGATTTAAAATTATAATTTAAGCTCAAATATAAAAACAAACCACTCGGCTTGTGTATCGAAAAACCGTCACCACCACGTTACGCCACCGTTACCCAGGACGAGTGACAGCGTCAAAGCAACATTGCAGCGGTTGGGATTGACCTCGACGTATTCCTCTCTCTCTATCTGCCCCCTCCCACGACGTTGTGTCTACTTTACTATTGATTATTTTGGTAGCATGGGCTTCCATTTCCTTCGAGAGAGAGGAGTTGCAAAAATGAGATATTTTGCATCTTTTTATCTTAATAAACAATGTCCTAATTTGCTTCAACAATTAATAACATAGCCGTTTTGGCGGAAATCCAAGATGGCCGAAAGTCCTGACGACTCTTAGGTCAGATTTTAGACAAAAACCAAAAAATAATTGATATCTGCAACTGTTAAGTCAGAGTTCAGGGAGACACCATAATTCGGCAATCGCTCAAGGAAGGGGTGGAGCCCAGGAGTAAACAATTAGGCGGGACAGTGGCGTAGATACGGGGGGGGGGGGGGGGGGATCAGGGGGATATATCCTCCCCTTCAACCTATAATGGGTAAAAAAATTGTAATAACATTTAAAAAATAATGTTTTAACGTATGCAATGAAATAGTGAACCTTTTTAATTTTACTTCTATTGTATTAAGCTTGTTTTTTGAATAAATCGTAAATAAACTGCAATGCCAGTGAAAGTAGTACGGTTTTTGCGCGCCAAACAGAGTACAGACACAAGTCACGGAAGGTCAACAGCCTTGGCCTATCCGCCCCTCCCCCTACCACCACCACTTCACCTTTTACACATACCTGAAATTAATCGTTAAAACGTGAGCAATAAAATAGTTAATCATATGTCATGCCTATTGTACTAAGCTTGATTGTTTGTACGTATACTTTCATTAACGATGAATAAATGGTAACAGATAAACTACATGCCGGTAACCGGTAGCAGTGGTGGGGTGGGATATTTGCGCGCCAAACAGACGTGAGTCACTGGACGTTCCGCGTTCAACCGCCCATCGACACCCTTCTCCTCTACCCCGTCACCCACACTACGCTTGATCTGTTGTCTGGTGTTAATTATTGTGCCAGTGTGTTTTTATGATTTTCGTATTCCGTGGTGTTTCATGAGTGTTATTTTATGTCGAAACAAAGTAAACTGATCGGATTTTTTGCCCCGAAAAGAAAAATTTGATGGCGTTAGCTGGTGTGGCAATGGAACAACGAAGTTAAGTGATTTTATTACTCGCCTTTGAAATAAAATTTTTTTAATAGGTAGGCCAAGTTCCGTTAACATATTAGCCTAATCAAAATATTCAGTGTTAAAGGATAGAGAAACATAATGTTAAATGTTATCATATAACAAAAAGCCTAGCCTAAGTAATTAAAAAATAAATGTAATAAAAACTAGTCCACATGCAATTAAAGCAAAAAGTTTAATTTCATAAGTACAAAATTGCATAAAATTGTATTAAGTATTAACACCAGATTTCACTTCCTAAACACTTAAAAATAGTGTTTAGAGAAGTTATTTTTCTCTAATGACCCCCGGACCCCCCTTACTTGCTGGATGGTATTCCATACCCACCAGACCCCCCGGGGGGCGGCGGCAGCCAATCTCGCCCAGGGTGGCAAAGTCCCTAGGACCGTGCCTGAAATCTTTTAAAAGCAGCCTTGCTGATTTTCTAACTAGTAAAACATATTACAGTGTAAATGAATACCGCACCTTAACGAAACTCATGAAACAATATGACTTAATTTTGTACAAAGTTCTTATTTGTCTTACTCTTACTATTCATAGAAATTAATTTTTTACTTTTATTGTTCAGCAAATTTTTCCAAATTGTTTAAAGGTTTTTTAGATGTTTACTCAAGGGAGGTAGGTATAGATGAGCCTACGATGACGGCTGTGGGCTTCTGATTGGCTGAGGGAACACCATTACCGCAACAATCGGGTGTGGAGCCAGCAGCCTCGTTGGTCTAATGGACAGCCTGCGGGGCTGATAAACTGAAGGTGCCAGGTTTGAATCCCACCGTTAGCACTAACTTTTTGTCTAAGATTTTTTCATTATCAGCAAGTTTGGTTAGTTTGGTTAGGTTATGACAGTTTAATTTTATAATTAAAACATTATCAAATTGAATCTGAGACATCTCTAGTTTTATTTTATGAACAGAACTATTTTTTCGATTAGCAAAACTTCATTCGATTTTTTCAGTATCATCAAGTTTGGTTAGGTTATGACAGGTCAATTTTATAATAAAAAAAAATATAAAATTGAATTTGAGGCATTTATAATTTTATTTTATGAACAGAACTATTTTTTCGATTAGTAAAACCTTCATTAGGCTAAAACCAAAGTGCTCTCTACTACAGCGCTGTTCACGGAGGAATTTTGAACCTTAACTATGATGTCATCGATGCCTCATTAATAGCTCCCGTAAGCCAGTCCCGTGTAATAAAAGACATATTATTGTATATTTTAGGTTAGTTTTTAATCTTGACAATGTCATCTGTTTTTTAGCTATGATATGATTTAAAACGTTATGTGAGAATAAAAAATTATTTATTTAGTTAAGATTCTTCCATTTTTGGCTGATGTTTAATCCTAATTTAATAACAGGATGAAAGTTAGACTGTGCTTTATTCCAGCAACCCACGCTGGCCATAGCAATTCTTAATCATCAACGGCGTAGCATTTGCATCCACTGTCCGTCCAAGTAAACTACCTTGGAACGAGTTACTATAGAATTTTGAGGAATGAAAAGAAAGTGTAAAAAAGTGGAAGAGTCGTCAACAGGCTTGGGAAGTGTATGTGTTGGAATGTAAAAGCGGGTGGTTGCAAGAAAAAGCACCTTCACAACTTGAGGGAGGAGTTTAACTCAAGGGAAAAGTGAAGTGTTTGCTATGTTTGTCTAATGTTAACCACAAGATCAGTTGATCTTATAAATAACAATATTATAGTTTAAGTATAATATTTTCATTTAAATGTTTCACTATAACCAAGTGTTTTATTTAATTTTGAAAGTCATCCAACTGAAAAAACACTTTTATTGAAGAGGAAATCTTACTTGAGCTGAGGCGAGGCACACAGTTCCGTGTAGTATTTGATCTTGGGCTCAGTGCCGCTGGTCCTCAATGTCGCCACCAGTCCGTTGTTGAATGTGAAGGTAATCATCTGGCTTGACTTAGACACAGGAAGGGTAGCCTTGTGGTCCGGCGTCGTGGAGTCGTAACCCGTCGTCAGATCACGGACAGAAACCACCTGGTACTTGTTGGCCAACAGACCTTCTGGGTACTGTAAGGTAATGTGAAATAAGCTTTACACTGCTACTGTACGTAGCAATTTTAATCAAAAGTATATTTTTTCAGAACATCCAAATCAAATCACACTATATATAGCCCAAAAAAAAAATGAGTATTGAACAAATTTGTTGCATATGTCATGATGACAAATGCAGAATACAAGGAAATGTACAATTTGCATGTGGAAAATTGTCTTACCTAAAAATAATGGTAGGACACTTATTGTATGGTAATTATTGTAGTTCTATGACATTTTTCTTTTTATAAGTTATGCTACTAATTCTCATGTCACAGGAATTGCAGAAACATGATTTTTTATAGTTTCTTTGGAAACTAGAGACTAAATTTGCACCAATAGCTAATGGAAACGAAATGTCAGAACTCAGAAGTATTTTTTTGTCTATAGCAGGGTTAGAAAAGGTCATATGACGAAAAACAGAACAATAGTTTAAAACAATAGATTGGAATTTACGTATTCAATATTCATCACAGACCATTAAATATAAAAACCAAACTTGTAGGTTGGCAAATTAAATAATGCCTTTCATACATGAATATACACACCCATAATTTGCATCTTTTAGAAATGTTGAATTTCTAATGTAATTTATTTTTGTGATTAAGTCCTGTCTTATTCAGGTTAAATAAGATTTGTAAATAAATTGACACTCACATTGTTAGGAGTGTCACCAAAATTTCTTAAACGCTCAAACATTTTCTTGATTACTTCTGGTTCATGGCAGATGAAGTATGAGTTTTCAGAGATGTGGTAACCGTAGCTGAAACACAAAGATGCACTGTAATAAAATAATATAGACTTAGTCACATTAACTTATCTAAAAAATGTAAGAAAGGTAAAAGGCCTACTTAATGTAGAAACAAATACTTCGAGACCTAAAGCCTACAGATAAATTTGCAACTCTGTGTGTATGCTGAAGTCGTGTATTAAATTAAATGTGAAATGTCGTCTAAATAGTAGTTGCAATGTGTTAAAAACATACTAGTGTACCTGTTGCTCGAATTCTAGCAATTGCCAAGTATTACAGGCGTTATTTTAAAACAAATAACAGTCATAATTTCTAAACTTTAAAAGATTCGACTCAAAGATTATGGAAATACTCAAGATGTACATAACAGATCGATATAATTAACATTTCTTGTAAATATCTTATCATTTTTCAAAAGCTGATCTTGTTTTTTTGTGTTTTCTACAAATAGGCTTACTCATAGCCGCATTAGGTTGTCCATAATAACAATTATAAATTCTAAAAAAAAAACATTATTCCTATTTCTTCTCCTTGGTGGTGTGCAATGACTTTCCTATGTTTCCATAGTTTGCAAATTCGGCTCTTTCAATGATTACTGAGAAATGCAGCACAGTGTTAATTCAGTTTTCCTTTTAGTATATCAAACTATCCAGGCTCTCTCGCTTTTTTCCATTGTAATATTTACGCCAACCCAAATTCAAATAGTAAATATTTCATTTCAACCAAGTCAGTAAATGTTTGTAGCAAACTGTTAAATTAGCAAAATTGTTGACTATTTACAATTAACACATGTTCTTCTTCTCACTTTTCATTTCTGACAACAGCTGGAGTTTCATAACAATGTTTGTTTCCCATGTTAATCTTATGGAGAAATGAAAAACTTTAAAGGGCCCCAGGGCCTCACTCTAAATTATTTCCCTAAAAAGAAAGTTTCCTGCACAACTTCACGTTACGCTCTTTCCAATGACACCAAAAACATGTCAATCGGTTCAGTAGTTTCGGAGGAGCAATTGTCACAAAATACCTGCTTGCGTATTAAATAAGTACTATAGTTCGGCCGCTTAGAAAACGACCTGCGCGCTAATGCTAAACCAATGTTAGAGAAGGTCGCTTTCCAAACGGCCGAACTATAGTGTCCCTGTTGCTTGAATTCGAGCAATTGCTAAGTATTACAGGCGTTATTTTAAAACAAATAACAGTCATAATTTTTCTGATGACTTTAAAAGATTCGACTCAAATCAGAAATCAGAAATCCTTTATAATCCTTAAAGGACTTGTTACTAGGTGGCAAGTTGAGTTAGATGAAACATCGAGCTTCTTAACCACATTTTGGACTCCTGAAGGTCGTTACCGTTGGTTGCGCCTACCGTTTGGCTTAGCACCGGCAGCAGAGGAATTTCAGAGACGGCTCAACGAAGTATTATCCGGCTTAGAAGGCGTCAACGTCATAGCAGATGACATTCTGGTCTACGGGTGTGGTGACACGTACGATGAAGCGGTCATGGACCATGATATAAAGCTGAAGCATTTACTTGAACGAGCTCGGCAAACGAACTTGAAGTTAAACAAACAAAAGCTCAAACTGCGAGAAAAAGAATTAGCCTATATGGGTCATGTACTAACTCAAAACGGTCTAAAACCAGACAATACAAAAATTTTAGCCATTCAGAAGATACCTCAACCTAAAAATGTGACCGATCTGCAGAGATTTCTAGGACTTGTAACCTATCTGGCTAAGTTTGTCCCTACGTTATCCGATCGGTGTGAAGTCTTACGACAACTGACACAAAAAGACGTGCCATGGACATGGGATGTTACCCATAAGAATGCCTTTGAGAATCGGTTCAGTAGTTTCGGAGGAGTAATTGTCACAAAAAACCTGCTTGTGTATTAAATAAGTATAGATCTAAATATATAAAAGGCAAAGCCCTCACTGACACACTCACTCACTCACTCATCACTAATTCTCCCACTTCCCATTTACCTAGGAGGCTGAAATTTGGTACACTGATTCTTTAGGCATTAAATAGGAAAACTAAGCTATTTTTATTCTGATCGGACTCTCGGGCTCCGCCCCAGTGGCTCTGGAGTTTCCCATGTTAACCTTATGAGTACTCATATTTAAATGGAATTAATGAATATTAACAGCTGTTTCAATTAAACAAGTTGGTTCTTTTCTATGATGTGCAATAGCTTTTAAGTTACAAGGATTACCAACAGGGTGCAGCACTATTTTTTTAAATTTACGACTACAGCTAATTTGCAACCAAAAGGTGAGTGAGCGTAGCGAACGAGCTAACCTGAAGGCAAGTGAGCGCAGCGAACGAGCTCCAACCAATAGGTGAGTGAGCGTAGCGAACGAACTTCAACCAGGACGTAATTGAGCCATGCGAACGAGCTCACTTATTAAGTAAAACGGGGCAAAGCCCGTGGGTACAGCTAGTTAGTTATAAATATAGATTTTACATTGTACAGTTATTCCTTCCGTAGCATCTGATAAAGAGACCACCACTTGTTTAGGCTAGTTTAATATTTCGCTTTTACACATTTTTGCTGGTATAAAAAAGTAACAGACCAAAGAAAGAAATCTTCAAATTCCAGAAACCTTTTTAGGATTGTTTAAGACCAATTGGAGAAATAAGGCCATGTTAACTATTAATTGCCTTACATATTACAGTAGGACACCATCTCCTTCAAATCCGTTTGGTTCCAACCTTGGATGGTTTGGATAACAATCTGCAAAACCTGCATGAACTCTATGGCTTTGTCTATAGTCACTTAGCTAACAAATCACAAACTGTTTCCCTAATGCTGTATGATAGGCATATGTTGGTGTAACAGTAATATTGCCCACTTATTGAGTAGTTGTGAAACCAATCCATTCACTTCTGAAAGAGTTTACATTTTTTAGTTTGGACATGGGGTTGGTCCCAAGATGTTATATAACAAGAAGGTGTTTACAGTGTAGTAACTTTCTAAATTTAAAAATTCCATATTCGTTTTAGAGAAACAGGTGCATAACAGTTTAAATTCTGATTAGGCACCAATTTGAGCCTGTAAATAAAAAGGAGCACCACACACACAACATGAAAGACATAAGACACATAATGCACACTTAAAAACAATTATGTTAAAAGAGGTTTCAATTAAATATTTATCTCATTTTCATGTAATTATTGTTGTGTTAAGAGTCTAATTTCATTCATTATTGATTGCATAACAAACATTCTTTATTATTGTTTATATTTTTTGTTACCTTAACCCAGGCTAGGAAAAGAGCTTCACACTTAGATTTCAAGATTCAAAATTAAGCTTACAATTTTCTTTTCAATTTTTTGTTTAGAGATTCAAAATTTCTGGTTTTGACAAACACTGAAACCCAAACATCTATTCTGGATGTTACCTCTGTACCTATTACCTCTATGTGTATTTACTCACAAGGAGTATATATAGTTGAGTTTCTCGTGCAGTGTCAGCCCCTGGTTGCTGCTGAGGAAGGTTGCTAACTCGGTGACTCTGACTGCTGCTGATACACCATCTTTGTCCAACACACCAGTGCCACACATATAGCCGATAGACTCCTCGAAGGCATACAACACTGTCTTGCCTTGCGCCTCCAACTCTGCACTTCGTGTTCCCATCCATTTGAATCCTGTCAGAGTTTCCTGTAAGGAATGTTGTGATTGGTTTGTCACAGTTTTTCAATACAGTACATTCCCACAAACTTGAGGAAATGATAACCAGAAGTGTGCCAACCGGGAAATGCCTGGTTTTTGGGAGAAAGGACCCAAAGTTGTAACTGAGAGAAAATTTAGTAGCCTACATTGCACTTTTATTTATCATACATAAAAGTCTAGTCATTGGTCAATAGTCTAGTCATTGGTTATACTAGATTTACAGCACTACATAATTTTAAATACAGAACTTTATCTTTCTTCCGAAAAAATTCAAAGTCATAGTGCTGACCAACAGACTGATAAGGTAGATAACTTGCTAACACTCTGGTTGCAGGTATGCGTGACTCAAGTATCCCAGTCTTAATGTCCGCAAACTAGCTTGGGGCAAAGCATCTGGATGGGTGTTTAAGCTACCGAGTACAGTTGACACTCCCTTATCCGGCATGATCGGGACTTTGGTGTTATAGGATTATTGAAAATGACAGATTACTGAACGTTTTGTAAAAACAGCCGTTTCTGCAGGAATAACAAACATACCGCTACGTAATTTTAAAGAGCCAAAAGGTATTTTTTTTGCCCGGCAGGTTATTATGTGCTAGCATGATCAAGGGATAAAAAAGTGTTTTTTGACCTGTCAAAAAATAACTCCAGCGTAACTTAAAACTCAAAGGAGGGGAATCGTTGCTATATTGCAAAACCCTTTCTTGGTTCTTTCAATATTATTCTTAGGATTCTTGAAAGTCATGTACTCTTACTTATAAGGTAAGCCTAAGGTAAGGTAAGGTAGATAAGCCTACCTCAAAGTTGAATTTCTCCTGCTTGGCCATGGTCTTGAGTATTTTCGAAGACACAGTGCTGGATATCATGTATACATTGCTCAAGTCAGTGTTAGGGTTCCGTCTCTGGTAGGTGTAGAGGCTCCACCAGCCCAACAATGCTCCAAGCTCATTGCCAGTAAACACCTTCCACTCACCCTGTCTACAGCCATCATCAAGTGGATTGATTAAATGAAAGCGTTTTTGATAAGTTGATTAAAATAAAGTTTTGATAGTGTAGATGTTTGAAAGTATTAACTGAGAATAACTTAAACACTCGCTTCATTTCTGTTCTTCATTCCATTATTAACTCTTGTAGTTGTTTTGGTTCTTGTCATCATATGTTCAATTTATTCTTGTTTGTGTTTGTATACAGTATATAAAAAGAAAGTGTATTAGGGTTAAGGGGTTGATTATATATCATTGATAGATCATTGGATATTGATTGGGCCTTAACAGAAAGGAAAGTTACTTTGTGTATGATTGCAAGGAAATGCCAAGTATGTACGTATAGTACAGGGAGCGGCAAAATGATCTGACAGTTTTCTTTGCCGCCCTGTCGAGCGAGTGAGTGGCAGAGGATGGTGGAAATAGGGGCGTTACAAAGCCAATGTGCGGATATTTTTAATAGCCATGGAGTTGTGGATGGCTGAGCACCATGTATTTATAGTGGAAGTGTTTTTAAAAGTGGCAATTCCAGCGTAGCTTTACAGTAGACGTTTAAATGTGGGTCAAAGAAGAAAAGTCCCAACTCGAAACACCATTTTGCTGTGGGTGGGCAACTTTACAGCTACTTGTTCAGCATTGAAACTAAAATCAACAGGCCAGCCCGGACGCCAGATAGTGTCAAGACAGTGAGGAAGACTGTGGGGTGTGGTTGAAAGTGTGATTCGTCGTTTATAATAACAATTTTGTCATGTGTAAGCAAATCAATCACTTGTTCTGAAAATGAGATGTGCTTTGCATAACCACTGGACTTCAACTGTTGCACAGTTGCCATTTTGTATGATTGAAAGTGCAGGTCGTATCGTAATACTCTTCTACTGAACGGCCAGACATGTGCAGGCCGCTTAGGACTAACTTCCAAACCTTCTCTCACGCTCTCGGCGTTCTTTGCCTTTTTTCAATGCTGAACTACTTCTGAAGTTACCCACCCACAGCAAATTGGTGTTTCGAGTTGGGTCCCATGTTAAAGCAGTCGACAGTTTTTAAATAAAAAAAATTATGTGGTATTAAATTGAAGTAACAATAGTTGGATCAGTGTTGATGTATATTGCTGATGTCTATCTAATACCCCAACTTTCAACCAAGCCATACCGAAAGGACAGCTTGTTATAAGCTATAGCATCTTTTATGTTACATCAACTATTACAGTAAAAAATAAAGGGTATCAGCAATCTGACACATGGGCCTACTTTCTCCCATTAGCTTGTCAACAACCCTTATCGTGGGAAAGCAGTGGGATTAACTTGCAGTGACAGTTCTAGGACCTTGCCATGGCAGAGGCTACCTGTGTGTCCTACTCACGGAGGGCAGTTCGGAGGTCCTCCCCCAGATAATGTGGTATTTTCAAAGCTGTTTGGTGACTTTGAATACCATTTTTAACGTCTACAACTGTGTCCGAAAACCTCTGTTAGGATTTTCGACAAAATGTATCTTAGGTACTAAATTTTAATCAAAACCGGTCAAGCTGAATTTTTAAAAACCTGAATTTCCTGTTACCTATTTATTTTATGGGAAAATCTCAAAGTTTCCAATACATTTTGAACCGTAGTTTTTACAGTAATGGGGTTGTAGCATTAAGAACTAAAATGACTCTAACATAGTAAATTTGATTTAAAATCATCCAATACAATTTTTCTGTTATTTTATGGGTTTCCAAAAATGAAAAAAACCCTGGAGATATCATGGATGGGTTCATATAGACCCAAAACGGATGTATCCACCCAAAACTAAAAAATGTTGACAAAAACAATACTTTCTCCATTATACTTTGTAAAGAGGGATAAAGTAAAACTAAAGGAGAAAATTGAATTTCAGACACTAGCACACTCTAGGAGTAGCTGATAGTACTATTTCTTTTTCTAATAAAATATCGGCAAAAGCTGGTCCATACAGATGGGATGAATATTTCAGTATCCAAAAGTCAATGTATAAGGCTTGGTCCATGTACCATCTTTACCTTGTTTTCTCCGCCACTGCCAGTCTGTCTGCATCTGGGTCATTGGCCACAATGATGGTGCTTCCATGTTCATTGGCCGTCCTGATGGCCAGAGTCAGGGCACTCTTGCCTTCCTCGGGGTTTGGGAACTTGACTGTAGGAAACTCAGGATCCGGCTCCACCTGTTCCTTCACTGGGATCACTGGCTGGAGAAAGACAAAACATGAGCAAGCGGCATCCTCTATTGTTTAATGGAATGACAAGATGAAAATATTTTTTTTTGTTTGCAAGGACTTTGATAATTCAACCAATGCAGGAGTATGACTAGACTGTACCTTGAAGTTTAACACATGTCTTGCTCAAAAGAGACAACAATCTAGGAGGGGAGGGTATATTTAAAACTGGATGGACGAGGGCCAATACTTTTGACAGTATTTCATGTAGAATACAATAATTTTGCATTTATTCATGTGGAATACTTGTACTTTCGTTGATGATTGTTAGTAAAGGGGAACTCCAAATATCCAAACTCTAATAATCATTCGGATCGCCAATCAGCCAGGAAAAAAATCATTGTGGTTTTTTGGCAGTTTGCTATAATTTGTTGTAAATTTGTATCTTCACCAATTAATTGGATTCATCATGCAGCAAGTCTATTGTATAGTCTATTGATCGACAGAAACAACAGAATACTCCCATTGACTATTGGTTATCAATAGTCAAAAATACTATTAAAATTAAACAAATTCACATTATTAAATTATATACAGTGCCCTCCAAAACACATATAATTCACAAATTAATCATACTTTGAGGTAAATTGTAAGGACCACGTGGTCCTAAAACCTCCTCTAATAACCCAAATATTTATTTTCAGTCATTCATTAAACGAATAATTCTTACTAGAATGTAAAAAAATACCCCTGCCGCAGCAAACCTCCCCACTAGGCGAATTTATATCTGACTGAAATGATTTTCAATGAAATCTATTTAAATAACAGAAGTTTAACGAGAACCTAGGTTTGCTGCTACAGGGAAACTAATAAAGTTTTGTGTTTTTTAGTTAAGTATTAATAGCTTTGTACAAAATAAATAAATCTACCAAGTTTGATCAAAATATATCAATAAACAAGCAAACGTAAAGAATAAATAGCATGGGAATTTTAAATTTACAATTTTTTGAATTTTGTCTGTTACCGTACAAAAACCCTTTGATATACTATATCATATGTTTTTTAAGCAATTTAAAAAGGTTTAGGAAGAAATTAGGAAATTTTGTGTTTTGAGGGTCAAGAATAAGAAAAACCAATTTTTACCCCATAAGACCCCCCGTGAAAACCCGTTCCCATGGTCCGATCATGCAAACGGCGCTGGGTGGCGTCATTACTGTCACCAGTACCCAGTGCGTTGTTCATCATGAACGTTAGCGGGGCCGTCTTTAAATGCCCTTACCCACTTGTGTACCATTCCGTCACTTATATACGCACTTCACAGTCGGTGGCAGTCTCAATTGGCGGCACTATTTAGAATGCTCAAAACCGGCTTATTTTATTTTATCATCACTGTAGACACACTAGCTGTCTACAGGGAGCGAGCTGGTCTGATGGTTAGGGCATGGAGCTTCAGAGTCCTAGGACCCGGGATCATATCCCACCAATAACCAGATGGATTTCATGTTGGCCATGTGATAATTCCGCAATCCTCTAGCCTGAAGTAAAGTGTAAAACAGTTCTGGGCTAGAACCTGGCGTCCTAGGACGTGAAGGTAGGAAATTAAATAAACTATATTACTCTTTGTTTTTTGTTTGTGTTGTAATGTAACAACATACAGTAGTAAATTTGGTTTAAAATATTTTTTGTTATTAAAAAAAACACCTTTTTTTAAAAGTCTATTCATCCATTTTTTTCTGTCCAGATCGTGTTTAGTCCCAATTGATCCGGATTATTTGAGTATAAAAAGTTGGAGAGCTGTTTAGATTTTCTTGCCACCCAAGTTTCTTGCAAGTCACCTGGATATGTTGAGATCTTACCTGTCCTGAGCCTAACAATTTTTTCTTTCTTACAGCTATAAAAAGACATTGTAAAGGAAGCAGTACCTAGCCACATTTGCTTGGCGGAGGCATTCTAATCTTCCTAACACAAGATCTGATTTCATTCACCTTGAAGTTAGCTACTTCAAACGCCCTGCAGACGTAAGGGTAGCCCACACCATGCATTGCAGTGTATGTTACGTTGAGTGGGGACTCTGCGTTGGCTGATGCGTTATACACCCCTGCCTTGAGTACTGCGTAGTAAGCATCCTGTGTCACCGTCAGCTGTGTCTGGTCCAGCGTATCAGCTGACAGCGTCACATCCCAGCTGATTTGAGGCTCCAGGCTGTCCAAAATACACTTCTGGATCTCTTTGTCCACCGGAGAGATGATCTGTAACATTGAAATTTAAAACTGCACAAATTTTTAAAAAAATATAGGCTACTATGGCAACAATTAATTTTCCCAATGAATTGTGTGGGAGTGTGTGACATACACACCAGCTGTCCCAAATTTCGAAAGTCATGGCAAAAAAACCAAAGGAAATACCCCCGCCGCAGCAAACCTGCAGACTAAGTGTATTTCCATTTGCCTGATTGTATTTTCACTAAAATGTCTCCTTGAAAGAAAATCAGGATTTACCTGTGTACCCAGGGGTCCGTACACCTTGTAGCCGTTGTCTTCCTTGGGATTGTGTGAAGCAGTGACCATTACCCCGACCACATGGTGGCAATGAGTTACGGCGAACGGGACAAACGGAGTCGGACAAACCTCAGCAAACAGGTTTACTTTGACGCCAGCCTGCTCAAACACTGCGGCAGTCAACTCTGCAAACCTACGAGTCAAGCAAACATTGTACTGTATGTAAGGGAAGGACTCCGAGGCTCTGGCAAATGGCTAGATACTGCCTGCTTTGCTAAATTATTGCACAACTACAAAAACTAACGAATTCATGGGAATAGAAAATATTGATCTGCCACAGCCTCAAAGGCTTCTCCATAACAGTAAAATGCTCAATTACTGATCAACCAAACCCTCTAAATTACATGATCAACAAATAGCAGCCAGAGTTAAAAAATATGTTCATACTGGACTATAACAACCATACTATAAAATATCAAGTAAGAGAGCCATCTAAGAGGGTTTCTACAGTCGTGCAGCTATTGTCAAAGGGTGTCCCAAACATATAAGGAAGTACATCATAATAATAACCTCTGTAGTGCAATAACAAGATCAAGTTAGTTAGCCATTTAAAAGTTTCTTTTGAGGATGCAGAATTTAATTCTCAATTTTGACATGGTTGACTCACTCTTTTCACTCAATCCAAACCATGTAATAAACCCTTAAATATGGTTTGTATTCTAATCTTATCTTAGTTAAGTTAAACAATAATAATTACGAGGACAGAGGTTTTAAAGTACAAGGTTTAATGGTACATAAGTTAAATGGTTAAAATAGGGTTACAAAAATTGTTCAGGGGTGGGGATTCGTGTTGGCCGAATCAAAAGATTTCATTGATGCCTAATTTAAATTTTCAATAAGTATGTTAAGTTATAAATTTAATAATCTTTTAGAAACAATAAGTTAAATAGGAAGGATTTTGATTTTAATTAAGAGAGGTAAATTGGGTCCAAATGGATGCTTGAAGAGTCTAGTCTGAGTCAATCTAATATATAAAATTCTCGTGTCACAGTGTTTGTCTGCAAACTCCTCCGGAACGACTTCACCGATCGTTATGAAATTTGGTGTGTAAATTCTGTAGGTATGCGAATCGGACGTAAACTATTTCCCGTTTCGAAATTCTTAAAAGGGCTCCGCCCCAGTGGCTCTGGAGTTTCCCATGTTAACCTTATGAGAAATGGAATTAATGAATCTTAACAGCTGTTTCAATTAAACAAGTTGGTTCTGTTCTAAGATGTTCAATAGCATTAAAGTTACAAGGATTACCAACAGGGTGCAGCACTATTATTTCTTTTACATTTATGACAACAGCTAATTTGCAACCAAAAGGTGAGTGAGCGTAGCGAACGAACTTCAACCTGGAGGCGAGTGAGCGTAGCGAACGAGCTAACCTGAAGGCAAGTGAGCGCAGCGAACGAGCTCCAACCTAAAGGTGAGTGAGCGTAGCGAACGAGCTCCAACCCAAAGGTGAGTGAGCGTAGCGAACGAATTTCAACCAGGACGTGATTGAGCGATGCGAACGAGATCATCTTGAAAATTAAACGTAACGGTACTTTCTTTCCATCGGTCTGTCTTAGGGGAAACGTATAACTTAGGCGATACGAAGTTCGCCGGGTCAGCTAGTAACTTAATAAAAATGGAATGTTCTCACCAATCTTCTGTAATAATAATTTTCTTCTTAGTATATAGGCTTAAATTCTTCTTTCTTCAGTAAAATTTGGAAATTTTGACAATACTTTCTTTTATAATTTCCCAATTATTTTCACAACTAAGTTAATAGATTCTGTGTGTTCTTCTTGGATACTTAAACTGCACTGTTAGCCTCATTGTTGTACCTCATTTCCAGTTATGGGGTTCACATAAATAAGAACATGGTTGAAATTTATTTGTAATCTTGACCCCAGATGCACTGTATTTTAAATGGAGGAATTGTTTTGAATAATAATTTTGGATAAGCCAATGATTAAGTTTTGATTATAAATTATATACTGTATATATATATATATATTGAGACAAAATGGTTTTAATAATTAACAATGAACATGAATAAATATTGAAAATATAACAAGATTGAGTTTGGAATTTAAATAAGGACTATAATTAATTATAAACATTGAATTTTGAGTCATTACAACCATCGTTCCACATAATAATGTAATTAAAAATTGCATTGCAATCAATGATGCATTCTAACCAAAAGTCGACATTAAGTAGTAACAAAACTAGAGTATGGACCATTACCTAACAAAAGACATATTAACGGAAAAAACCATCTAAATCTAAATGCAAAAATATAAAAAATGTAATCTGGTAAGTTTTAATCAAGTTGCACTAAAAGAGAAATGGTACAATACTCAATTAACAACAATAGGTTTACCTTACCTGCGGCTGTTATGACGTCCATCGTATCCCACAACAATGCCTCTGGTAGAGAGATCCTCATGTTCCCTCTGCAGATACTTAAGCAAACCTTGAGCTGTCTGAATTATTACTAAATCATTCATCTGAGAGAACCCGACTCCCATCCGGCCACGTAGACCTGCCGTGCCGAACGCCATGCGTTCCAAGAACAATTTTGACAGAGTCGATACATCATTCTTGGCTATTAACTCTCTCACCTCATCGTTCTGCGAATCGTTCTGAATAAATAAAACAAATGCTTCACAAATAGGTCCATGTAATAACATAGTTATCAGCATAGTATGTGCTATTTTATTTGGAACAAATATAAGAACATCTAATAACAATAACACTAAACATTTGTTTACACTAGTAAATTTTACTGGTAAATATGAGATGATAGTACTGTAAACAATTTTGATTTCCAATTATTATCAGACTCAATAGATGAATTAGGCCTATACATACTTTTATTTACATTTTTAGTTTAGGTGCATCATGAATTTCTATGACTATTAACTGCTTAAATATCTCTGCAGTTTAGGATTTAAAGATTATATTAAGGTATAATATAGTCATACTTTTAAAATTTCACTTTAACATTAAATTTCAACCAAACAAATTATTGAAATATGACTCTTAGTACGGTAACTATTTATACTTCAATATAAAATAGAACTAGACGACCCGTGCGAAGCATTCAACTGAATCCTTCTCAAATCCCACTTATTGAGATAAACAACAAACAGTTAGTTCTGCGTAGTAAGTGTATTGTTGATTTAAGTATGGGTCCTTACTTCAGAAATAGATGTGGGTTTACATTTTACATAATTAACCTTTTCAAAATATAAAATATAATGTTAAGTTAAGTATGTTTACAGGACCTATTTGAACAATACATTTAGTAGGGATGATCATATTTGATTTTTGTGTCGATGGATTTGTTTTTATACAGACAAAAAAAGTGAGTGATTGTGGTTTTCACTGAAAAATCGCACCCTTGATAAAGCTACGAAAACTATTTTTTTTTTTTAATGGGGTCTGGCACATGGTTGGACAGTCTAAAGGAATGGCTATGTATATCAAATCTTAGATGTTGACCATTTTGGGATTTTATTTTGTTTGTGTGTGTGTGTGTGTGTCCTCTGAGAGCTTGTTTTAAAAAGATTTATTTGTGCTTTTTGAGTTTGCTAGATTTGAATAAACTAAATTTAATTATTAACTACTTAGGTTGAATTGAATTAAAAATTATTGTTTTAGCTCATTATAAGTTCTAATTTGTATACTGGCAAGCACCAAGAGTTTTGTGTATTAAACCTAGACAGTTTGTTACTGGAACTAATTTATATTCTGGTGTTGATCAAGATAATCAACGTGATCAATGTAATCCAGATTACAACCTAAAACCACTTAAACTAATTTCTAAACTGGCGGCAAGTTTCTAGGAAATCAATTGTCAAGATTGCTGTTGTTATGTGCCCTATACGCTACCAACAGTCATTGTCATTATCATTGTAAAAACTAAAAGAAAGAATTCAAAAACTAAAATCGTTTTACAAATTTACCTTGTTAAACTTTAACCATTCCTCCAACTTTGTGTCAAGTTCATTGTTTCCAGTTGATATAGTTCCATTTTCTGTAGGACTCATAGTAGTTTTCTAGAAAATACATAAACTGCTTTATGTAAAAAACAATATTTGTACGTAAATATAAAAAATATTTATTTTCTATTGTCAATGGGCCTAAGGCTGCGTTAATTTGGTTAACAGTAGGTGACATAAAAGAAAATTGTGGGAGGCTGACGATTTATGCGATCACAATAATGAAACCCATTTTCAAGTGATGACTACAAGAGCCAATTTAAACTTGTTATTTCACTTAAACGTCCCAACAACATCGTGTTCATACTGTAAAGTTATTCTTAAAAACAGTAGCCAAATAATTTAAGAGTTTTTAGTTTTCAATGCAAAATTCATCTCCTTTTATAGTTTATAAATATTTTACAAATGTCAAGTGGAAAATAGGTAAGTGAAGTACCTGACAGGATAACATTTGTTGTGGTATCCAAACAGTTTGACTAGGAACACAAAATAATATAGCAAACAAACGGTTCAGCCCTAAAAATCTGTTCGACGGCCTTAGTAGAGTGTACCAGATGACCATCAAGTGCACACACAATACAGGATCTTATCTAGTTTCTGATAGAATAAAGTACTGGTATCTACTGAAGTAAATAACACTTTATCAGCAGTCAAGGTCAATTAATCTATGACAACAAAGCTGACGTCAAAAGATTAGCAAAAGATTTAGTTTAAAGCCTTCCTTAAAAAAGAGTATTTATATTTTTAATTTAAATTTTACTGACGGTACTTTTAATGTACACTCAATTTTTGTCTTCACCTTTGATTATTTCTTTCAAGGCTAATTAAAGCTTCTGTGCATTAAATTGTAAGATATATATTGATATATAACAGTAGGATTTTAAAATATAATTTTAAAGCTACCCTTTGATTTTGAAAAAAAAACCTTGACATATAGCGTTCTTATAGGTTCATTTGATAAAATAAACTAGCAACAAAATTTCCATTCAACTCATAAAAAATAATAAAATTAATATATTAGTAGGCCTACCACTAATTATTGATTACTGAAACACCAATATTAGAAACATCTATGGTCTGTCACAAAAAGAAAGCCTGAGTAGCCTAGGCCTATATAATTTGTGTTCGATCTTCAATATATTTAAAAGATAGGTTATAAATATTATTTAGCCTTCATAGTACTAAGGTCGTACTTCTAATTAGGTCCTATTAGGGCAGAATGTGGCTGGATGAAAAAAAACCAAAAAGGGAGCACAGAGCGGAAAGAGCCTAAAATAAGTGCTGAAAACTTAAATAAGGCACTTGCTTGTCAACTTATTATCAAATAATAACTCATATAATTGGCACATTCTAGTAAAAACATTTATCGACAAGTAGCTATATTAAAAGTACTATGCATTGTCATCCAGTATGTGCTGAACAGCCTAGTACCGTACTGTTAAAAGACAACCTGACCAGCTTTAATTGCAGAAGTAGCCACCACAACCACGGAGCACGTAGAGCTCATGACTTGGATATGCCTCGCTGCCGTTTAAATCTAACGCAAAAGAGCTACGCCGCACTCTGCCATAAAGATTTTCAACACCTTGCCTGATAGAGTCAGATGCCTAGACCTGAAAGCCTTCAAATCAACACTGAGCAACTCTCTTTTGCAAAGGCCACTCTAGTGTGCAAGAGTTGGTAGAGAAACCTCTCATGCCGGGATGAAATTTCCGCCACAGCCTTAGTCAGGATTTAAGTTATGTATTGTAAATATATGTTTTATTGTAAAAAGTATTATTAAATTTGACGCTAGGCCTATCTATCCGTCCGTAATCACGGTCAAAGATAAAGAAGACAAGTATCAAGTAAGTAAGCATAGTAGCCAATTACTTTGGCCTTGTATATTTTCTGGGTAGCTGAGTGGTTATACAAACATTTATTTGAATTCCAGGTACAGTACCTAGTTTTACTCTGACGTAACCTTAAGATTTTTTAAAGTTATAGAATTTATTTTTAGCTTTACAATTTGAAATTTCCTTGTAATGAATGATTATAGTTATTTAGTTTATAATTTTTATTTAAGTTAGTTAATGACACTATTCAAGACATATTGTCTAAACTTTATGAATAAAGAATATTTGATTGATTGATTGATTGATAGTGCTCTCCTCCTCGAATTTGAAGGTCGCTGGTTTAATTCCGGGGGAGATTGATTCTGGACCCAGATATTATATTTGTCATAGGGCTGTAAATGATGTATGTAACAAAAGGTCAAAATTGGATGGTAAAAAAACCAAGGTTGGACCATTGCCTTACTTAAAAAACAGTGTTTTGGTATTATATGGAGGCCACCCTTATACAGCATGCTGCGGCAGTTATGTTAGGTTGGGTTATCATAAATAGAAAGTATGACTCATCTGGTATCGTTCCATTCATAAGGAATCGAGGAAAGTCCTACAAACATAAGTTACTTATGATAACCCAACATAACATAACACCTGCAGTGCGCTATAAAATAAGTGGCCTCCATATAATACCAAAGTAACAATAAAACATAAGAAATGCCATGGGCATTTAAACACAGAATATTACTGGCACTAATACAGAACTGGTGGATGGTGGCCAACTGATACAGATTTAAAATAGGCCTAAAATTTTATTATTGCACCAGACTTTGAATTTCAAAGATCCTTGGTTGAGGTGACTAAAGGCCGAGTAACGGAGTAAACAATGTTCAACAGGTTAATTTCTCTTTTGTTTGCAGAGTGGTTTGATCCCAAAGGTTGCATCAAAAGTTGATATAAGTTATACTTTAATACTTTAAATACTTTTCTTTGAAATGGCAACCATACAAAGTAGGTATTTTCAGCCAAGTATGAATAGAGATGAGTGTATGATGAGTGGCGCGATCTTGTAGTCTTGTTAGTGACTAAGGCCGACATATTCCTTAGACACAGCTGTTAATTAATATAAGTCATCTAAAGAAATAAAAATACCTTTTCCTAATACAGTGATGATCTATTAGTACTGAGCTAAGCAGCAACCTTTTGAGCGGATAGACTTCGACTTCCGTAAGTTATCAGTTGGCACAAACAACTGATTGAAAATATCGATCGATATATCAAATGGAACAATCGAATAGGTAGGCCTAATCGATATTTTCATTCGGTTGTTTGTGCCAACAGATACGGAAGTCTACCGTTATCATATCCAATTTTATTGGTTACTTCCACCCAGCATCGCCCATACTTTGTACAGCAGTTAGTAGAGAATGCCCAAATCTGACCAATGAAGCTAAACGCTAAAGCAGTGTTTTATCGTTCTATATTACATAAAAAGTATAAAATCAGGGTAATTTCATGCCAATTAACTATGACTGGATTATGTGCAGCTCGCAAATTATTTACAACTTGTCCCAGTTCTTATTATATTAACAGTTTTAGACCCTATGCCAAAAATAAAAAAAAAATACACAAGAACTTATTCTTAATAATAATAGTAGTAATTAGTAATAGTACTTATGAAGATGAAGGTTTCAGGATTCAATTTCTATAAGTTTAATAGATAACCTAGGCCTATTGAATCTTTTGAAAATTGACAAAATATTTTCTAATGGTGGTAAAAATGTTATGTATTCCACAACCATCAATCATTCCTATCTTACATAATACACATACCTGATCGAAAATACAATCGGCACACACAAAGTAAACAGGAATCAGTTCTCAGTTGTTATTGCTGTATTTGACAGACGACGAGAGACGAGACGACGATGCAAGCAAAACAACAACAACAACGCCTGGTACAGTATAATGACAGCAGACAGCAACAACAGAACGAACAGCTGTCATAAGACCAGCTGATGTGCTGGCGCTTTTTGAAAAAAGTTGTATTTTAAGCATAGAGTGAAAATATTTAAACCATCGTTTCAATATGGATTCGTATTAATACGAATCAGCTTATAAATAAGTTACAATTTTAAATTCACTGCTACGATCAGACAAATATTCACAATTAATAATTTTACTGTAACACCATACACCATAGCTGTTACATAACACTCATTTTAAGCAATAGTTTTCAGATATTTTGGAACCTATTTTTATATTACTGATATGATAGTAGGTTTATGAAAGACTAAAATCATTCATGTCATTAAATGGTAAATTCGTCTACTAGTTAACTTACAAGTTTTTAAAAGTAAAGAGTAGTATAGTATGATCGTTGGTTTTAATGTGTAAAGAACGATGGTAGCCGTAATCTTTCTCTATGGTTTCATGCTTGCTGTCTTGACCATTTGAAATGTTTAGCAGCTGTTTTTAAACGCCAGACGCCAACCAAACCCAAACGTCAAGATTAAAAATATGAATCTATTGGTATGATGTTTTTGTCATCTCTGCATTGCATTCTGCAACACTGCAACACAAAACACAACACGATCACTGCAACTTGCAACGGCCAGAGGCACAAAGGTCAAAGGAAGTAACCACTAAACTAACCACATCCAGACTAAATGAAATGTTTTTACAATAACCATTCATTTTGATTGGATTTTCTCCATAACTGTGACCATTAGGGGATGTAACTAAAATGGATCTTTCCAGAAAGTATAAAACCTCTTTCATGACATGTAAGTTGATTTATGTTTAGGTCTAGTCTAGCCTATGTTAACTTGGTAAATGCAAGTGTATTTAGATAGACTAGTTAATACTAATTAGTCGTAAGTTATAGGTAGTAAGTAGGCCTAGTGTAGAATCATTTTAGTCAATAATTCCTTGGTGTGTCTTGAAGTGTTGGTTTAACACTCATGGATGCAGCTAAATTATTAATTACGTTAAAGCAAAAAAGAGTACACAGTTTCTTAACTGGGCTATGCTAATATTGATTGAAACTATCAATTGAAAAATCAATTAAGGCTGCACTATATTTAACGTCCTACACTCATTCGAATGAAAATATCGATCGATAACTTATATTGATTTTTCGATATATTGTTTGGTTGACACGACAGTATCAATATCATGTACCTGGGTACTAAGTTAGGGGTCGTAAATGCAGCAATATGAAGTGCGCGCCCTTATAAAATCTATTGCTGGCCGTTTTGCGGAAAAATACGGGCGAGTAGGTTATTACCGATAGTGTCATTTGATAGAGGACACATAAACGGACACGACAGTATCAATATCATGTACCTGGGGACTAAGTTAGGGGTGGTAAATGCAGCAATAAGAAGTGCGCGCCCTTATAAAATCTATTGCTGGCTGTTTTGCGAAAAAATACGGGCGAGTAGGTTATTACCGATAGTGTCATTTGATAGAGGACACATTAACGGACACGACAGTATCAATATCATGTACCTGAGGACTAAGTTAGGGGGGGGGGGGGTAAATGTAGCAATAAGTAGTGCGCGCACCTTAAAAAATCTATTGCTGGCCGTTTTGCAAAAAAATATGGCCGAGTAGGTTATTAGCCTACTGATAGTGTCAACTTATAGAGAACACAATAACAGACACGTCAGTATCAATATCTTGTACCTGGGGACTAAGTTAGTGGGGGGTAAAGTTAGCTATAAGTAGTGCGCACGCCTTATGTTATCTATTGTTGACCGATTTGCAGAAAAATACGGCCGCGTAGGTTATTACTGATAGTGTCACCTGATAGAGGACACATTAACGGACACAACAGTATCAATATTATGTACTTGGGGACTAAGTTAGGGGTGGTAAATGCAGCAATAAGTAGTGTGCTTATAAAATCTAATGATGGCCGTTTTTTGGAAAAAAATACGGCCGAGTTGGTTATTACCAATAATGTCACCTGATAGAGGACACATGAACGTACTCGACAGTATCAATATCATGTACCTGGGGACTAAGCTAGGGGGGGGGGGGTGGGTAAAGTCAGCAAAAAGTAGTGTGCGCGCCTCGGACTCAGCCACGGGCTCGCCCAAGAGCAACCGAACATTTGTGGGGTCAATGTCTCCCTAGACGCGCTACGGTAACTACTTATTGATGCATGAGAGGTAGGCCTACATGATATTGATACTTTCCTGCCCATTAATGTGTCCTCTATCAGGTGACACTATTGGTAATAACCTACTCGGCCGTATTTTTCCGCGAAACGGCCAGTAATATATTTTATAAGGCGCGCACACTACATATTGCTGCTGACCTAGTCCCCAGGTACATGATATTGATACTGCCGTGTCCGTTATGTGTCCTCTATCAGGTGACACTATCGGTAATAACCTACGTGGCCGTATTTTCCCGCAAAAAGGCCATCAATAAAATTGTAAGCCGCACGCACTTCTTATTGCTGACTTTCCCCCCCCCCCCTAACCTAGTCCCCAGGTACATGATATTGATACTGCCGTGTCCGTTAATATGTCCTCTATCAGGTGACACTATCGGTTGAAATTGGTCCACACATAAGGGAGGAGTACTGTTCACAAAAAACGGCTTCACGTATTTTATATTTAGATATAGATTTTTCAGGACAACCAAATACAAATGACTAGAAAGAGATGAAGGGTAAATGGAAAATAAGGAGCCAGTAGTTATCCTGAAGTCAGAAATCGGGAGTTTGCCGAATGCGAAACCCTTGGTTTTTATGTGCTAAACAGGAAAGGATTGGTTAAATGATTAAAATTTGTTCGTAGGTTCTACCTGACACCTCAAGAATGGAAGTAGGCCAGGTGAAAGTGGCAGAAGACAAAGATTTTGAAAACTTAAAATACCTTCTCGACAATCACACTGGATGGAAATTAGATTATACCAAAACCACAATCAAAGTCTGGACAAAAAATGTCTCCAATACAAATTTCAAAATGGTCAAGGTATGTTGAGTTCTTGACAATGTTTGCAGACTAAAACGTTAAATTACCTTGAGTATTGTGAAATCGTCTGATGTCTTTGTGAAACTTGTGGAACATCAGAGAGCAATTTTCAAGCTATAAAGAAAACAAATCCTATTTTAGAGCTGAATTCATAATAATTATGTATAACTTACAAGATTTAAGAATATTAAAGAATTATATTTCAAACATTGATATGGTCAAATAATTGTGTGAGCATTGTTAGAAACGTCAGGGGTTTTCATGCTAATTAGACAACTTAGAGTGTATCGTCTGGAGGTTAAATTAATTCAGATGGGTTTAATAGACTTAGGTGTCAGGTTCTGTTCTAGTTATAGTAATGACATAATTTGTTCCCTCAAACTCAAAGATAGGTAAGTTATTACTAAGTTATCAATCAAGCTGTTTAGCTTTTAGTTTTCTTTTATTTATACTTAACATTTGTATTTATTTATTTAACTATCTAACATCTTATTCTTATATTAGATGTGTTTGGATTAGGTTAGGTTAGGTTAGGTTAGGTTAGGTTAGGATGGACGAGATTGGATTTTTAGTTCGAGACGAGACGAGACGAGATTTTTTATTTCTCATAAAATTTCAAGACGAGATCGAGACGGGATTTCCCTTCTCATACACAACGGGAAATGCACGTTCGGAATTTTTACCTGATTTTGTAACATTGTTAGATGACTGTTTAAATACAAAAATAATTATAATAGGCAAGAATATTTACAATCTTTTATTAAAAAACATCAGCATAACATTTTTTTATTAATCACGCCTAAATTATTAAAAATGCCTACGATTAGGAAACATAGTGATATCAGTTAGGATAGAGTTCAACTTATCCTAAAATAAAATAAATCATAAAATAAAATATTAATTTTTATAAAATAGTTACTTGTTTTGACTTTTTTTATAGTAATAAAACATTCCTCACACTGCTAACACTTAACAAAACTTCTCAAATGTAATTAAAATAAAGTAATATTTACATTTGAAGAATTAATTAAATAAGAACGCCTTCGCAAAGGAAACGCAACTACAACACGCTCCTGTATTGCGGGTATTGCATTGACTTTCTGCAGGCGTTTTTAATTTTTTTTTTTTTTTTTTTTTATTCTCGTCTCGATAAAAATCTCCGCCATAAAGAAATCTCGTCTCGTGTAACGAGATTTAAAATTTCCCGAAAATTTCCCGAAATTTCGAGACTTGACCATCCCTAGTTTGGATGAATGTTTTAGCAATCTAGAGTGTTTAAAGCTAAAAGTACTTTTTACAAAATTATGAGAGTTTTAGGTGAAAGCTGAATTCACGGATATTAATGCTGAGCTCCTGTATGATGTCCTCCATGACCCTGAATACAGAAAGGTCTGGGACCAACATATGATTGAAGCTAAAGACATCGGCTGTCTGAATCCAAACAACGATGTCGGCTACTACTCAAGTAATGATGGTTTAAACTATCTTTAACTTATATAGTCAATGTTAAAATGTTAAAATGTCAAGTAAAATGTAAAAATTCGGCCTACTTTTCCTATTATTTTTTCAACCAACTAAGCAATGTATTAGAGCCTAAATTTATTAGCTTAAAATTAATAGATACAACTTTTAAGTATGAAAGTTGTTAACAATTGATTAGCCATCACTAAAAATCAAACTGTATTGCTTAGTCTGTGAATGGTTAGATAATGTAAGGTATGTTTCTCACCAAGCCATCAATCAGCTCAAATGATTAACGTGTGGAGGTTATCAATTGTCAATTATTGAGATGGGAAGCCGTCGGTGTGTGTTTAAAACCAAATATGAGTTAAGGATGAGTGAGGAATGAAGTTTAGAACAAGTTTCATTACAATATGTCAAATTCAGTTTTGTGAATGGGAGTTCAGCTCTGGGCTTCGTTAGTAGCTTAACACGTTGACTGCTGAAAACCTTTACACAGGCGCTCCTAAACTGCGGTGAGGCCTGGGTGGAGCCCCGGCGCGCTACTTAATCAGCGGTCGCTATTGGCATTGAAAGATCTCAGTAAGACGAATCACAAAAGAGCAATAGTGATTGTTCTGCGTTACCCCGAAAGTGGACGCAGTTCACTGAAACACCCAAAGGTAGCAGCACTGCCTGGATCAATAACCATGGAGTCTTTGTAATATGGCTTAAATAGAGAAAATCCCCGAAAACGGGAAAAAAGCATTGCCAGACGGGGAATGTTTAGTACCAACCTACACCAAAATAAAGCTTGTATTCTAAGCTACAGCCTGACAACAATCACATTGTCGCCGGCCGAGTGCTGGGCTCAGACAGATGCAATATTTGGAAGGCGAGCACACTCTAGAACTGATGTAGCAGTAGGCCGCATTCAAAGTGTTAATCATACAAAACATGTAACATAGCACTTGTGGATGAATAAAATAAATATCGAATAAACAATGAATGCGGCCTGGGTTTTGTCTGTCTGTACTGTTATTGTTGTTAAATCAATTGTATTACAACACCAAAACATAACAGAACAGTACAAATGTTTAACCATTCTTCATCATAGATTTATCTCCCTCTTTGACTAGTTGGAGATTATTTCAGGTATATTTGAGACATCCGGTAACAATTGATCATTTTACCACTTTAAAATTATCACCTTAAAAAGAACAAATTTGTTACTTTACTAGACTACTTTTTTGTCCTGTAGTAAAAATTTAAAAAATACAAACAGTCAAATTTGCTCTTAAAAATTAGGGAAAAACATAAATTTGTCATTGAAACTTTCAAGCATTATGCCTACCTACTGAATATCAAACATAAAAAAGTCCTTAAATTTTACTAGAGGAAGTCTACTTACATTATCCAAAATGAACGATACAAAGAATAAAGGTTGTATTACATGTACATTACACTTTATGACTGTCACTTGTGTATTGCAGTGTCTTGCCCCACTCCCCTTGGCAACAGAGACTTTGTCTTGCAGAGGTCATGGTTAGACCTGGGTAACGAGAAGTATATCCTCAACCATTCTGTCTACCATTGTCAGCACCCTCCACGTCAGGGCTTTATACGGGCCACCTCCTACCTCACTGGTAATAATTAAAACCATAGGCTATGTTCTCTAGATTTTTAGAAAATACCCCCGCCGCAGCAAACCTGCCGACTAAGCGAATTTCCATTTGTCTTAATTGATTTTCAAATAAATATATTTTAATAACATTAGGTTTAACGAGTACCTAGGTTTGCTGCTACAAGGAAACTAATAAAGTGTGTTTTTTTGTAAAATATTGATAGCTTAGTATAAAATAAATAAATTTGATCAAAATACAAAATATATCCATAAGCAAGCAAACTACAACATTTGACAATATTCTCCATAAGAATAACATGGGAATTTTAAATTTACAATTTTTTTTTAATTTTCTCCGTTACTAATAATCGAACAAAAATACTTTCATATACTAAATTAATTGTTTTTTTAAGCTCTTTAAAAAGGTCTAAAGAGAAATTTTGTGTTTTGAGGGTCAAAAGTGAGAAAAACCAATTTTTACCCCATAAAACCCCCCGCAAAGCCTCGTTCCCATGGTCCGATCATGCTGGTTCGCGAACTCATTCAAGTTTATCCCGCTTTACACCTTTAAACCAACTTTCATCAAAATCGGACAAAAATTACTCAAGTTTAAGTCTATATATATATATATATATATACATATATAAAAATTTGAACGAATGGTGTTTTTGGCCTCTGGGGACATCAAAATGAAAAAGTAAATCGGTCCCGGGTCTAGGTCTTACCGTGCCACCTACGGTAATAGCTACTCCCCTATAGGGGAATTCGCTAAAACCCAACATAGCCATTGGGTACCAAGATTTTGTAATAACACTTATGTAACATATTCTTAGTAAAGGGCTCGAGGCCCGAATATGTTTAAGTATTTTTCCATTTTTGTTTCTTTCATAGCTTTTTATTTTACTAAATAATTTGATAAATCTTTTTTTTTTTACACCAGTGGCATTTCACAAGAGAAGTTACGAGAGATTAAATGTTTAGTCTTCTCAAATGTAAATGTAAATCTTCTCAAACCTCTGTGTTTGTTTCAAAAACCATGTATCAAGCTTCAAACAGACCCCTTTACCATATTTATTGTTAAATACACTATACTGTAGAGTGTAGGCTAATCCATTTTGTATTGTTTAAACAGTGTTTTTTGTGTTTTATTTTCAAAGCAGCTACATTAGTAATTTCTCAGGACATTGTCTATGTTTTAGACACTTTTTAAGAATCGAGTTTCATTTTTGTCTACATTTTTTGGGTTTGGTAACTTGAGGTTAAAATTGTTACCCAGGCCCAGACTGGCTAGGTCCGCAGGTACGCGATCGCGGAGGGCCCCCTGCCCGAGGGGCTCTGAAGGGTCCCCTTCTCGCTTAATAATTACAAAAAAATGTTGTTACTAGTTAGAAGTTATCAAATGTTCTTAGCAAAGTTTTGTTTACGTTTTCCAAACCCCTGAGTGAGACCAAACCCCTGAGAACTGTGAACTGTGTTTGACAACTGTTTGTATCTTGCCGTTTATATAAAGGCATACAACATACTGTAGCCTATTGTAAGTTGAGTTACGTTGTTGTAGTGTAATACATCGTCTGCTCGGTGACTTGTGTTGTGGTTAGCAGACAACGGCCAAGTGATGCTCTTTCATATCAGCTGATTACTCAGCATAAAGACAGCGCAAAAAGACAGGAAAAGAAGAAAAAGTTACTGGAATCTTTCCGGTAGGGATGTGCCGATTCTCGATGCCACCGATTTTGGAACATTGGTATGTGTATCGAGAATAATTTATCGTCAAGAGTCAATGCCGCTACCGATACCTAGAAGTGGATAGGAATAATTCGGATTCGAAAATCAATTGACGAAATTCAACCACAGAATCACTGCCGCATCTAAAAAGCAGTAACACAAAGGTCAGCTATGTATTTGCCTGCGTTAACGCACGAAACACGGCTAGCACATAAATCCAACTGTAAAAATTTCTAACACAAGAAAATTCAGAGAGTACGGATAGTATTGCACAATAGATAATTCAGTGTCAGTCAACCAGCCACGATGTCCCTACAGCTACTGCATCGTCTTGCCTACAAAAAATATTTTGATAAAGAAAGGGCATCAATAGTATGCTCTATTGGAAAGACAATCTATCTATATATTAATTACGTAAGCCGATTCTTTGCGTCAACATTTTGGGCGACTGGGACGTCGTAGAATGACAGGAGAGGGTTCAAATTAAAGGTCTCAATCCCGTGACGGCGGGAAAAATAGTGAAATTCCCCAAATTTTAACACCAAATTAGATATAACATAAAATATTCTCCATAAGAATAGCATTAGAAGCCATTTGCTGCTGATTTTTGTTTATTTCAATACAGCTGATCATGATTTATCATTAAGCCAGTAAGCATTAATACATTTGGACTCATTTTCCAGTCAATTCTGCAATGTACGGTATACTATATAAATTTCACCAGAGATAACGTTACTTATAATTTAGACTTTTTCATCATGTCTTGGAATGTTGAAATAAATTTTTTACTGTACAGGTTGAAAATTTGTGTATTTAATAATTGCATAATTTGTTTTACATTTTTATCTTTTTAGGGACTTATGTCCCTACATGCCCCTAGTTCTATTTTAAATTCATACTTTTATTAAAAACATAATAGCTTTGACTATTAATACAACGAGACATTCCATCACCATATTAATTTTGTAGCCAGATTTTTTTAAAGTTTGTTATTTTAGTCAGTAAAAATAAATCTCGGCTCCTAAGCCTAACTAAAGATGTACCGGTAGCCTATTTTGTCAGACTCAGCAGAATAATTTAATCGTGTTCTTTAAGAAGGCATACTACGTGGCAAATATAAGCAGGTTGAATTTAAACAACAATATATAACTTGGTTATTTATTACTGGTAAATACAACCATAAATTAACCAACAAAAGTGGGCTTTCTGACTTTCTAGTAAATTTTGAAGGTCTTTTTTCGAGTCTAGTTCATGTTGGTGTCACTGATCACTAGTGTTGACAAAATTTTGTTCCTATTATTTTAGGGTTATTTTGGTGATTTTTGCATTACTGTTCGGTTATATAGCTAGGGGACGAGTTATTATATGATTACATCGTTTAATTTGGTTAATTGAGTTTTTAAATAGCTAAAGTAACAAGAAACACATTGTTACAACACACACAACCTCTACAGTACACTGGACAGAACGACAGAACTAACAGCAATATTAATTGTCCTCAGCTGATCCATAAGGATGAGAATTGAGAAATCTATGGAGCATGTTTAGCCTATCTAGTTAAGTTATACTTGCGTTAAGAGATTTTTGGCTTATGTGTGTATGCGTTTGTGAGTAAATGTTCAGCTTGTAGACAGTGCTTATTAGTTGTGAATATGTGTGTAATTTGTGTGAATATCCCATGTGTTATGAATCATGTTATGTGTATTTATAGTTCAATATTTTTGTTCCTTATTAGGCCTACTAATTATACAGTCTTTGTCTTGTTAGTACATATTATTTTTCAAATCCCTAAAATCTCTTTGTGATTATTATAACCACACATATAATGTTGACACAATTTATTAACTTTGGTGTGAATAATACTACACTTTAATTTGAACTACGTTATAACACTTATATTGACACTTCTACAGTGTGTATTACATTGTTGTAGTCTCCTTAAAATAATTTTTTTTTTAATTTTAATAAATAATAAAGTTGATTTTAATAATAAATAATAGGCCAAGTAAATACCCTAATATTTTATAAATGCCTAGCTAAATTTCTTCCTTTAAAAAAAAATGCCAAACTAGTGAGAAAAAACTCGTGTACAAGAACCTAATAAAAAAAATCCTCCCGTAAAGGGCCCCTTCACAGCATGTAAGCTGAGGGCCCCAAATGGTCCCAGTCTGTGCCTGTTGTTACCGTACTTTGATTTGCAATTGTTTTACGTAAAAAACTAATAGTTTTTCAACACCTCAATGCTGTTGACAATTCAAATACACTATGGCTTTCTCAGTTCCTAATTTATGGTTTTGTTCAACACATTTATGTCAATGAACTATAGTTGTATTTATGGCCGAGATTTTTTGAGAAGCATAAGCTCATGTACTAATGTGTGTGGTTGTAGGCTATTTGGTGCGGTCGTACCCTAACATACCTGGCTGTGAGCTAGGCTACATCTCCCAGACTGATCCTCAAGGCACTCTCCCTCCTTGGCTGGTCAACAGAGTCACTCAGATATTTGGGCCCAAGGTAAACAGCCACAAATCCAAAATGCAATTGGCCTCCAGAAATTTGCCTCCATTGATGTATGTCTCCGCGAAAAAGCTTACAAGTTTACCGCTGCCTCTGGGACAGTTTGGTATGATAGTTTGATACTTTTCAAGCTTGTATTTTTTGTTGTATATAATTAAATAAAGTGGTTTATATTACCTGTCCGTCTCCGTGTGATAACGGGAGAGGAGCAAGGACACCTCAGTCATGACCACTCCATATTTTTGTGTTTTGTGTTGTATGTGTGTGTTTTTGTGTTTACTGACGACCTCAATTTGAGTGACATGGCATTTTGTAACAGCCTGATGATGGAATTTTAATCCTGAAACCGGTCGCCTAAGACAACAACAATAGGACAGGGTGTCTACCAGTCGGGAATTCCGGGAAATTCGGGAAAAAGTCGGGGATTTTGAAAGGTCGGGAAAAGTCGTGGAAAAGTCATGAATTTCGGCCGAAAGTCGGGAATAATCTAACCTTTCAAAATTAGGGATGAACGGGTCCCAAAACTTTAAAAAAATGTTCTGGATCTTATATTTCTGATCATTGGGACGGGATTACATTTGAGGGGTGGGGGATGAAACGAAAATGCATCGGAATTCCAATTCGATTCAGTGATGATCAAAATAACGATTTGAATCATGGGCATTCAGGGTCCATAATATACGTTTTTGAATCAGCATCCATACGTTATGGAATCAGTATCTATATACGGTATTGAATCATTATCCAAATAACTTTTTGAATCAGTGTCTATACGTCATTGAATCAGTATCCATATACGTAGTTGACTGTTACATTGATACTGTTACTTTGACTATCAGTATCCATATAACTTATTGACATTATTCAAATGATTGACATTAATTATATAAGCTATTCATTGAGATGAGACATTGCTTAGCCATACAAGTTATTACCATCCAAGTACATGGCACACACTGAGACATTGCTTAGCCATACAGGTTATTGCCATCCAAGTACATGGCATACACTGAGACATTGCTTGACCATACAGGTTATTGCCATCCAAGTACATGGCATACACTGAGTACTGAGACATTGCTTAGCCATACAGGTTATTACCATCCAAGTACATGGCATACACTGAGTACTGAGACATTGCTTAGCCATACAGGTTATTGCCATCCAAGTACATGGCATACACTGAGTACTGAGACATTGCTTAGCCATACAGGTTATTGCCATCCAAGTACATGGCATACACTGAGACATTGCTTGACCATACAGGTTATTGCCATCCAAGTACATGGCATACACTGAGACATTGCTTGACCATACAGGTTATTGCCATCCAAGTACATGGCATACACTGAGACATTGCTTAGCCATACAGGTTATTGCCATCCAAGTACATGGCATACACTGAGTACTGAGACATTGCTTAGCCATACAGGTTATTGCCATCCAAGTACATGGCATACACTGAGACATTGCTTGACCATACAGGTTATTGCCATCCAAGTACATGGCATACACTGAGACATTGCTTGACCATACAGGTTATTGCCATCCAAGTACATGGCATACACTGAGACATTGCTTAGCCATACAGGTTATTGCCATCCAAGTATATGGCATACACTGAGACATTGCTTAGCCATACAGGTTATTGCCATCCAAGTACATGGCATACACTGAGACATTGCTTAGCCATACAGGTTATTGCCATCCAAGTACATGATATACACTTAGACATTGCTTAGCCATACAGGTTATTGCCATCCAAGTACATGGCATACACTGAGACATTGCTTAGCCATACAGGTTATTGCCATCCAAGTACATGGCATACACTGAGACATTGCTTGACCATACAGGTTATTGCCATCCAAGTACATGGCATACACTGAGACATTGCTTGACCATACAGGTTATTGCCATCCAAGTACATGGCATACACTGAGACATTGCTTAGCCATACAGGTTATTGCCATCCAAGTACATGGCATACACTGAGACATTGCTTAGCCATACAGGTTATTGCCATCCAAGTACATGGCATACACTGAGACATTGCTTCGCCATACAAGAAGTTATGTATACCTTGTAGTTCTGATTCTATCCTCTTATTTTATCAATGTAAACCAATTGAAAGATTCAGTATTTAAATCTTACAAAGGTTTTTATTTGTTTACACCCAAACATATCTTTATTTATAAAATGGATAAAATAAAATAGGTAACATACTTAACAACATGATGCTGCAAGTAAAAATTATGAAATAGGCAAGAAGCTCACTGATATTTCTAGAAATACTGGTTCTTCTAATGTATGATTGAAAACAGATATTTCACTCCACTGAGAAGTATGAATAGAAAAATCCATGTTGCTTCGAACCGAGTTACATCAACATTTTTTTAAATCGAATCGTTGCTTTGAGTTGAAATGTTTTGCTGCTTCACACACCCCTACATTTAATACGGGATTTTCTTGGCATGTGATACGTTTCGATCTTCAGTGATTTCGCTGGGTCGTAAGTGACAACATATGTTGACGAAGGTACCGTGACCGCGAGACGGAAAAAGGTGTAGTAACATGGAGAATGGACCGAGTGTTTGGTCGGGATTTATATAAAAATGGTAATGAAAAGTCGGGAAAAAGTCGGGAATTCCATTTGAGATATCTGGTAGACACCCTGTAGGATCACTGACGGACAGGTAATATAAACCATTTTAATCAATAAGTGATCCTGGGCCACTAAGCATAATGTATATAATTACTTTATTTATACAGTTTTTTGAGTTGCAAGCTTTAGCAATTAATTGATGAACATTTGGATTACAGACTAAGACAAGGAAGCTTATTGTGTCATGAAAGGAGTCAAGGGGTAAAAAAATAAATTGTTATCATTTCAGCTGATCAAAGACCTGCAGAAAGCCAGCAGAGGCTACGTCAGCTGGAAAGCATGTCACAACCCGTTGTACAAACCTTGGCATAACCCAGAGCAGATGGTGTCTCCTCGAATCAAACTTCAAGAGGTAACTGCGTTTTAGATTGTTGCTCTATATTTTATGTTAAGAATCCATGTCTATGAAAGCCAGCTAAAAGGTGTAACGTATGGAAATTAAGTCTCATTGCCATGTAATCACATACAGTGGAAAGAAATAAATTCAAAAACTTCTTCAATTCAATTTTTTTTATCTTGGTAGAGAACTACAATAATTAACCTCCAAATATCATGGATGGTTCAAATTGTTTCCGCACTAATTCTTCAAGTGCTATGGCTCTTTTTTCGATTTCATACTGAAACATGATAGGCGATTTGAACCAATATTACAAGTTTTGGGGGAAAAGTCATGCCTCATCTCTTATTTTTCAAATCCTTCAAGCTTAACAATAAGTAGAGGTGTGCGGATATCCGAAAAATCGGGTCGGATATCCATTATCCATATCTGGATGGACTATGTTTTTGCCGTTTTTGACTTATATGACGACTATAAGGCCACTGAGACATTGCCTTCCCATATAAATTCTTTGCATCAAGATACAAACACTGAAACATGGCCTTGCCATATAAATTCTTTGCATCAAGATACAAACACTGAGACATGGCCTTGCCATATAATTTTTTTGCATCAAGATATAAGGTAGGCCTACAGTATAGTTTTTTGTGAAGTTGAGTGAGCTGCAAATTTGAACTTTAGTTTTTGTAACTGAACCAAGATTAATGACTTACAATATCACCATTGTGAATAGTTTAGGTACTTTCCTGTTAAAGGTAACATTCATTATTATCGATGATGTTTTTCTCGATATATCGATATTAACTAATTGAAACCTATCAGCTGACAACTACGATAAATAAATATTAATCAGTATCAACAAACAATAATTTTAAAAGAATATTGAAATGAAACTGTTCTAAACTAACCTAACAAAACTAACCAAACTTGCTGAACGTTTAAAAATCTGTTTAATATTCTCCACTTCCCTTTTCTGTTATCAAACGGAATTTATAAATTTAAAAAGGATACAGCAAGTTTGGTTGGTTATGTTAGGATAGCTTAGAACAGTTTCATTTCTTAATCCATATAATAGACTATATTTTAGCCTAAACAAGATCAGTTGTCAATTTTTAATGGATTGTAAAGAAGTACAAAACTATCGATATATCGAGAGAGAAAATCATCGATAATAATGAATGTTCCCTTTAACAGGAAAGTACCATAGTTTACAATTCATGTTGTAGTTTATGTATATAAAATTGCAAATTATAACTTCAACCTTAATATTTATTTATTAGGTACTTGAACGTCAAACTATCCGATCCGATCCGAACTGAGCCTTAACTATCCGAACCGGAACCGATCCAAACTGAAATTTCACTACCTCTAACAATAAGCTACTAAAATAAAGACTAAAACATACAATTTGAAATTTTTTCTCTTAAAATAAAAAAAATACCATGAATCACAAACTTAACTGTTTTTGTAAAATAAGCGCTACCTACTGAAAAATTAAATAAGGAGGTTAATTCTTGGTTTTGTCTTGAGATTCATAATACCTCCTCTAAGGGTGGATATAAATCGTTGTCAAGAATATCACTTTCCTTTCATATTTAGGTCATCAAAACATTAAATATGAAAATATACATTCGACCACTACTGTTGACACAGGTACACACTGCTCAGTTTACATGTCCGGACTCATAGAAGCGTTCACCAAGCAGTGCGTGCCTGTGGCCACAGTAGTACTAGTCTATATTGATTATTTTTTTGTCTAAATGTTAATGTGTGCATGTTTAATGTTTTGACAACCTGAATATGAGTGAAAAGTGAAATTCTTGACAAGGATCTGGAGAAGGATATATATTCAGTGGAACAATCGTCATACACCCTACTTGTCTTGAGCTATTATAAATCACAAGACGAAATCAAAGTACATTCTGAATCTTGCCTTAGTTTGATAACTGTCCACAATAAAGTTTGTGTGCGGAAAGAAGATTGTTATCTTTGTAAATCTTAGTACTCGTATTACTTCCAAATCATCAAGTTGGAACCAGTGTTGGGGAAGCTACTTTTAAAATGTAGCTAGCTACAACTACTTCTACATTTCCAAAAAAGTAGCTTAGCTACAGCTACAGCTACAGTTCCGAAAAAGTAGCTAGCTACAACTACAGCTACAATGAAATGTAGCTACAGCTACAATTTTAGCTACTTTTTCAAAGACGTTACTTTTTATTCCACGCACATTAGGTAAATGTAAAATTAATTGAAACTACATTTTTATTAAACAAACATTTAAACAAAAAATGTCAGTATTATATATAACATTACTTGGAAAACAAATTATTCCTAGATTGTATTTAATTTGATGGCATTATAAACCTAACATTACAACAACAGAACCAAATAGTTGGGTGTCCCATCATATTTAGTACTTATTTTTAAACATTGCATTATTTTTAAGCATCTTTTATATGTAAATTTCATTAAGTTCAAAGGACATACAACCAAACTATATTTTTAAAGCTCATTTTATTTCTTTAATATAGATTCATTTATAAGAAATCAGAAATCAGAAACTTTTTATTGCCGTAATTTGCAAGGTACATGCATATGACAAAGTCAACAACAAATGAGGTTCAAGTTCAACCAAGAAAATAAAACTAGATACCGGTAAAACAAAAATAGACAAAACATTTGTCTGGGCAGTCATAATAGATCAAAAAATAAAAATGTAGCTATGCAAGCATCGAGCCTATCAGAAACAAGACAGTGATAGATAGATAGACAGTATAGATATTATATCAACAATTAAGACCAATAAAACTGTAAAACGATTATTTAAAAATACTTTTTTATGTTACAGAGCCTATAGCCTACTGAAATTGGAGTTTATTGCCTTTCTTTTCTTTTAATGTTAAAAACTATAGCTTTTAACCATAGTGATAAGTTACTTGTTCTATGAATAACACTTTTCAATATCAAGAAATCGTCCTTTATTGTCATTATGCATAGGGCAAATTGTGCTTCAACCTAGTTGGTACAGAAAACAGTATTCAGCAACTTATTCTGAAATCGTCTTTTAATTTAAACATGTTGAAATTTGTAAAGTAAAAATAACATTTAGGCCTATTTGGCTATTTAACAAGTTGGCTATAGTAGTCTTGTTCTTGCAAGGACTAAACAGATATATTCCTAATACACCATAGTATAGCCTAGGAATAGTCCTATACAAGAGCTGTTAGCAGGAGCAAACTAAGCTATTTTTTCAATGTAAGTTTCATGTTATATGGAGATTTTTTCGTTACAATTATCATGTAGTCCAGGCATATCTTAAATCTCATCAAGTCAATTTCTTCTCTGTTAATTTAGTAAACCTTTGAAAATATTCGTAATCTAACCAAGGAAGGGTTTGTGTAGATGAACCACAATCAACAGCTGAAGCAAAGGTTGATGGACCAGCTTTCTCAAGGTTTAGTGTTGGTTTCAATTAAAACCCAAGTTGAAACACTATCGATATAATAAAGAAACTAAATTGATTACTAATTTCCCTGTCAATCACTTGCAAGCATTCAATAGCTTCTCTTGTCACCGGTAACGTTTAAACGTCGTCTGCATCTAGCGATTTTATTTTATCTGACAGTAATCATAGAGTAAGTAAATTAAGGAAATGAGAGCCAAAAATGTGGATAACACTCATTTAATGGCCTCCATGTCCACACAACGTTGTAATAGGGAATGAAACAGCTGCAACCAGCTTTATGAGGCCAAGAAAGTAGGCCTAATTTTTTTGAAAATCTTAGCTCAGTTTAAAAGAGGTTGTTTCACGTAAGGTTGAGGTTATGATAAAAATCACTATCTCAAACAATGTTAATGTAGCGAGAAAAGTAGCTAAAATTCCGCTACAACTACTTTAAAAATGTAGCTAGCTACAGCTAAAGCTACAGAATCTTAAAAGTAGCGTAGCTACAGCTAACGCTACAAAAAAAGTAGCGCGCTACTGTAGCGTCGCTACTTGTAGCGCGCTACTTCCCAACACTGGTTGGAACAATTTGGTTTTCGGCCCGGTCGAAGTACAATATCTGCTGTTGCATATTGTGTTGACCAGGTTGTTGTAGCTTTGAAGGGATCACAAAGCACTATGGGAGTGTAATGTGATCTGTCCATGTTTCATGTTTTAAATAAAAACACAATTGAAGTTTCAATACTATTTATTATAAATTGTAATTAACATCTACAGAATTACATTTAGGCTGCAGTTAATGAGCCGACATCTTTTATTCTGAATCGGAAATCAAATACACTTAAAAGAGAATACACAAAGACCAAAGAGTAATACCTCTAAACATGGACTTAACTATATACATATATCAACATCCCCTCTCTTTTACAAAATTGAAAATTTTAACTTTCCAAAATACAACTTTAACATTTTCCTTTCAAGTCTAACAAAATATACACCAAAACCTAATCATAAGACAACCGCTTTGGATTTCTTATCAATCTACCCTTTCGGCTTACACAACCATCGAAACTTTTAACAATTTGTTCTTCTGATGAAATTCTAGGAGTTAGGCCTACTGGTCTTTGAAACAACACTGGACTACTTTGCGGAGAAATAAGGCTATTACCATTAGTACCTGACAAACTGATTTGTGAATCTGACTTAGGACTTGTTTCAGGCATTATGGTTTCATTAACTGTATCATTAGACAAATCTGGCCTAATCATCTTCCTATTTCTTACAAACATTTTATCTTTCTCATCAGACAAAACATAGGATCTGGGGATTCTATTTTTTTCTACTACTTTTCCTGATGTCCAAGGTGAATCAACAGTTTTCTTAAAATACACTTTGTCTCCTACATTTAAAGAGGGTAACTCTTTGCTATTTCTATCATAGTACTTTTTAATACAATCTTTTCTCTTGTCTGACAAAATTTTGTTAGGTTTTGTTACTTTAGGCTGCAAACTACTTTTAGACAGTGGCAATAGGCCATTGAGTTTTCTACTAAACATTAACTCTGCTGGTG